GTTTGGGAATACCAAAATATTTATTAATATAATGTAGGTATAGGTCGGAATGGGACCTTCAGGGCCTACCGGTCCAGGAAGAAGAAGGGCCTATCTATCAATTCATTTTTCATGGTCCGATTCATTGAAAAGCAAAATAAAACTGATGGCTTTTTCGAGGTTGTCACGTATTACGGGTTTCTTCGCATTTGATTATTTGTTCATTTCAAGGGACCACTGTCTAAACGAGGGACTGAACGAGGGGCTCACTGCTTAAACGAAGGCCCATCCGACTGCTTAAACGAGGGCCCACTCCACTGCTTGAATGAGCGCCTACCGGTCTTTGGACCGGTAAAACGACGGCCCAATCCGACACTGACTATATAATATACCACAGCACAAAGATAATACAACAAAAATACCCGAAATGTTTCAATGTGGATATTTTTTTAAAAATAGAAAATTGCCATATGGTTTATTTTATAAAAAAAATAATTACAAATAAGCACCATCAGAAAACAGAGGACCCAAATAACATCTGTTATGCATATAGGTATTCATTTTAAAATAATACGAGTAGATATACCTAGAAAAGAAAGTTTTAATAAATATTAATATATTTCTTATTTTATTTTTACCTATTTAAATATTTCTTAGTTAAGAGATTATTAAAACATTATTTTAGGAAATAATTGCGATTGCCATTCATGATTAAAAAAATAGATAATTCATAAAAAAATTAAATATTTTCTACTAAATTGTTTGCTTACCTACCTGTATTGTATTTTTTAAAGCTTGTAAGTATATTGTAATAATTAATAGAAGTCTTTGTGACACAACATAATATACCTACCTAATATGTGCTATGGCTAATGTTGAGGAAATATTTTTTTATTTGACCATAAATAAATTAATCGACTTTCATGTCCTAATTTTGTGACCAAAAGCAGAGTGAGTAAAGCGCCTTCTCCTTGGCTTACATACATAACAATACAATACCTAATAAATGATAAAGCTTATTAGAGACAAAGTTTTTAAAAACTATAATAGTCCCTCATCGACTGCACAAAGTGATATGTCGTATTTTTGCTTGCTATTTGTATAGTTGGGTACAGGGGAGGAGGTAAACAATATGTACTATGTACCGGTGGTGAGAGCTGTCGTGTAACCGGTCAAATTCAAAATAATTGCTTCTTATACCTATATATGACTCATCCATTAACAATTTAGAATTATTTCCGGATAATTTTAACATATACAGGATGGATCGTAATTTTGAACAGACTTCTTTAACGAGAGGTGGAGGTGTGCTTATTGGGGTACATGAAGACTTTGTTTCCGTAGAAATTAATCTATCTGATTTTAACTTTCCTCAGCTTAAATTGATTGATATCATAGTTGTTAAAATAATCTTTTTATATAAATATATTTATTTGTTAAATATTTACATACCACCTCAAACTCCACTAACTGAGTTTGAACAACTTTTTGAAGCCCTGGCATTGTTGCATATATTACATAATAATACAGTTCTCGTTGTAGGAGACTTTAATGTTAGCGACTATGCTAACTATCTGGATTCTGGTGCAACTAATAGGGAAATCACTACCCTTAATAATTTTTCACAAATTTTTGATCTTTCTCAAAATAATTTTGTATTTAATAACCTTAATAGACTCCTAGACCTGGTTTTTTTTAATAAAAAATGTCATGTGGAGAAATCACTGGATCCATTTGTAACCGAAGATCGACATCATCCTGCTTTGGATATTACTTGTATACTAGAGATAAAGGATAACTTCAAATGTAAATTGCAATCCTGTTTTCAGAACAGTTATAACTTCAAAAGAGCCAACTTTCCACAAATGTATGAACAAATATCTCTTATTGACTGGACCTTCTTGGAAGCGTTTGATAATTCAGAAGATGCATCCACATATTTCTATGGCAAGCTTTATAATGTTTTCGATCGTTGCTGTCCCAAATATACACTTAAATCCAAAAATAAATATCCTCCTTGGTACAATGGTAGCATTATTAAAGATTTACAGGCTAAAAGTAGAATTTGGCGCAAATACAAGCGTGAAAGCAATGTACAGGCCTTTGAAGATTTTAAACACCTTCGGGCGAAAATAAAGCATGATGTTGATGTTGCATACAAGAAATTTTTAGGCAAAACTGAGGAAGAAATACATAACAACCCAAACAGATTTTGGGCATTTATAAATAATAAACGAGGTAGTTCCAAAATATCACAAGTATTGAATTTTGAAGGTCAAATGCTGGAGGGGCCTTCTAATATTTTAAACGGTTTTGCAAATCTTTTTAAACAGTCTTATACTATTTCTTCCCCTTTTCAACCCAATTCTGGGACAAATAATAATCACTTTTTAAATATTACAAGCTTCAGTGAAAAGGAAGTATATGAGGCACTAAGATCACTTAAGCCAAAAAAGACCACCGGATCAGACGATATTCCAGCTTTTGTCCTAAAAGATTGTTCTTCTGTGCTTGCTCGTCCCCTCTCCATACTAATTAATATTTGTTTAAAATCGGCTACAATACCAGAGGTCTGGAAATCCTCAAAGGTCTGTCCCATTTTCAAGAAAGGAGATAGACAAGATATTTCAAATTATCGACCTATCTCTATTATATGCAACTTTGCAAAGGTTTTTGAAATCCTGTTAGAGCGAGTTATATATCGTCATGTAAGTTGTAATATAAGTATAAATCAACATGGTTTCATGAAAAGTCGTTCAACAGTCACCAACCTCCTTACCGTTACCCAATATATTGCTGAATCTATTGATAACAGAGCCCAAACTGATGTTATTTACACAGACTTTTCTAAGGCCTTCCACAGACTTGATCATGGCATTCTGCTTAACAAACTTGTAGCTTTTGGATTATCTCCTTCTTTAATTTCACTATTTCAATCCTATCTATGGGATCGAAAGCAATATGTCCAGCTTAATGGTTTTAGGTCTGCTGAATATAGTGCTTCTTCTGGTGTTCCACAAGGGTCGAATCTAGGACCCCTCCTTTTTATTATGTTCATTAATGATATTGCAGATGTTATAAATGTAAATTTGCTTTTGTATGCTGATGATCTAAAACTATACTGCCTCGTAGAGAAGATAGGTGATTGCGAGAACCTTTCAGCAAACCTAACACGGATTGTTGAATGGTGTTATCAAAATAACTTGTCACTAAACCCAGATAAATGTAAAGTTATGTCGTACAGTTTAAACACGAATATCCTAATATTTAATTATTCAATAGAAAACGTTGCTCTTGAGCGACCGAAAACATTTACTGATCTTGGCGTCACGTTTGACACTGCACTATCATTTAATAAGCATATTGATAATGTTGTATCCTCCTCCTATCGAATGTACGGATTAATTGCACGTAGCAGTAGTGATTTCAAAGAAACCTCTACCTTAAAAACTCTATTTTATGCTTTTATAAGATCAAAGTTAGAATATGCTTCAGTTGTGTGGAGCCCCTTTTATCAGTATCATATAGATCGAATAGAAGCAATTCAAAGACGATTTTTAAAACTGCTAAGCCTGAAAACTGATGGCATTTATCCTCTAATAGGTACACCTCACTCTGAATTACTACAAAAGCATAAATTTTTCAGTCTCGATAGAAGGCGTGATTATTATAGTGTAGTAGTGACTTATAAAATTATTAAAAGTATTATTGACTGCCCAACCTTATTAGAAAAGTTTAATATTTGCATTCCCAGAATTTCTTCCAGACACCCGGATACTTTTTATATAAATACATCTCGCACAAATGTTCTGGAAAATTCTCCGCTCCATACCATGTGTACAGTAACAAATTCTATTGTCAATGAACTTGATATATTTAGTTGCAATTTGTCAGATATAAAATCTCACTTTTTATCTTAGTTAATTTGTTACCTATTACGAAATACAAGTTCTTTTTATGTGCTTAACATTCATATAAAAAATGTGATCTATTAATAATTATATTCTGTCAGTTCCTGCTCTGTAATTGGGTTTATGACCTGTAGAGTATTGTATTATAAATAAATAAATAAATAAATAAATATGGATTTTTTCGTTTTTTGCTGGCAGTGAAACAACAATAAAAAAATTCCTTTGAGCATTTTTCTGTCGTCCGGTTTTGCTACTTTCGGTGCAGGTGTAGAAATTTCCCTACATTATTAGTAGTAAACCCAAACGACAGAAAATGCTTTCAAAGGGATTTTTTTATTGTTATAGACGTTTAGAAGTAAATTATTTCATCGATAAGAAACATTATTTTAAATTTGGCAGGTTACACTACAGGACAGCTCCCACCACCGGGACATAGTACATGTTGTTCAGTCCTACTTATCTGCGCCCAACTATAGTGAGCAAAAAACAGATGTCACTTTTTGTACTTTTGCAGTCAGATGAGGGACTAAAAGCTACTCACTCCAATGTGTACTGAAATTAGGTACTATGAAGAATTCAAGAAATTTTACCACCTTTGTAAGACTTTGTATTGCTGCAAAAATATTCTAAATCTACTACAGTGTTAGGAAATTCTCTAGTAGATATAAATTCCATTTATTATTTATTTGAATTGCTGGTTTTGACTATTTTTTCCTTTGGTATAGGCAACAAGTATTACAAAAGTATAAAATGTTGCCTAACTAACTTACTACTGACGTCACATCCTTTTAATCTCCATACTAGGTTTGTTCCAGCAGCAAGTTCTGAACCTTTCTAGAACATTCTAAGCATGCGCATTTACAAGTACCGGTTTATTTTTTAATTGCGCATGCTTAATAAGTTTGTATCGTGTTCGGAACATCTATTGGAACAAACGTTTCGTTTAATCAATACGTCACTTCTCCACTCGCTTCCTTTCTTTTTATTTTTACTTTATTATTTATCGATTGCTGCCATTGCCGGACATTTTGCTCATATCGAGAAGAGGCATTATTTTTGTGTGTGTAAATACATTTTTTAGCTTATTTTCATTCTGAAATAACCTCCAGAATGTCTTATAGTACACGTAGAAGTGGTGGCTACGGTAAGTTTTAAAAAATATTCACAAAATGTTAACTTTTTTTAAAACCCTGGAAAATTTTTGGTAACAAAAGAAATAATTTTTAGCTGGCCAGCAACAACAACGGCAACCTTCTCCACAACAGAATGTAGGAAATATCGGCCAACGGAGGCCTGTAGTGACAAACAATTTTGTTGCGGGTGGACAGGTAGGCCTAAATTCCAATTACAAATAAATGCCGTATTACTTTTATTGATTCGGTTAACTATTTTATATTCGCTATAAAATTGATTTGAATATGCTACTTTACTCTAAGCTTAAACATTGAATTAAAATTGATAAATGTCTTAATATGAGTTCTTTTCGATTACGGAAAAACTAAGCATAGGTACTTGTAGGTATTGCTATTGTAAACAAAGAACCTAAGTTCCATATCTTGTGCAAATGAATAATGACGCAAATAATTTAATTAAATAAAAATATGCAATTTTTCCATTAATTTTTTCAATTTTATGGGAAAGAGTGAATAGGAGTTTTGGGTAGGAAAAACGTCAGTATTTATAATATAAAATATTAGGGCAGGGATAATGGCTACCATGGATATTAGGGACAGTAATTTTGTCACTTTTTCCATTAAAATTAAGTAAAACCATAATATTTTTACACTTTTTAATCTTCTATAAGTGTGCACTAACCTAATTAAAGCAACAAATATTATTAAAACACATTTGTAAGTTAAAAAATTAAGAATAATATGCATTTATTCAGGACATCACCTAGCCATATTGTTTTTAATTTTTTCGATTTGACATTGACAGTCACACTAAGAGCGCCTGTGCGTGATTTTAGCGATGTTGCCAATTGCTTTTTGTTATTTTTTCTAAATAGATATATTCATGGCAATACCGTTCTATATTATTTTTTGTTTATGAATAATATGACAACTAACATTTTTATTTCTATAAATGTGGTGTTGTCAAACATAACAGGAATGACAGTGGCTGTTTTTTCAATAGCTCCAGGCCAGATGATAAAACCAGAATATAAATGTGTTTATTTGAGACTTTTCATTTCAATTATTCAATTTGAGCTGTGTCCAGGCCGTTGGAGTCTATGCCGGTCGGCGTAGCCTGGTATGGGTTGTTTTTTGGTGGCGGCGAAACCGCCACCCTACGAGAAGTCGTTGCTTCGTTTTCTTGTTACATATTTATGGACGGATAGGCAATCACAATTTTCTATTAACTACTAATTTTATCACAATCCGGCAACGTTGCAATTATATTTTCCAGATTTGACAGGAACCATCGAGTTTCGATGTTTACAGTCGTCAAAATGCTGATTTTTATACAAATTAAATAATTTTTTTTGGCTTAAATAATGCATTTACTGCATTTTTTTTTTTTTAAATATACTATTTAAAATACGCTCTTTCTGATAAAAAATAAATTTCTTTAAAATTCCACTGTCCCTAAAGTCGACGGGACCCGGGATAATTATTAGAAATGAATTGCTGTACTTTTGATACTAAATAATTGAATGTTAAACTTGTGCTCATTGGCAAAAGTGTAAGATATTAAAATAGCATCTCTGAGCTTTGATTTGAGACAATTTTCACAAGAAATGGAATTAAGATATTTTGTTTACAATAGTTATACCTAGTGATGTGAGTTGGGTAAATACCCAGTGGGTAGGTAAATAAATTGTGAGTATTTACCCCCTATTTTTCCAAGAGATATTTACCTACCCAAAAACATAACCTACAATAATTTAATGTTTGTTGGTTATATTATAACACATGGCGACAATTATGTCATAAAGCACAAAACAGGTGATATTATTTGTCAAGTCATATTCTTCAAGCTTTGTTTAGTAAAATCAGCAAAGAAAAGAAAATCAATGTTTCCCTGAAACTGGCTGTAAAAAACAGGATGGAGACGTCATTTGTTCAGCCTACAGAGCTTTTGCCTAAATAAAAGTATTCTACAAACATAAGTGAAAGGAAGTGAATAGGGTTTCTGGATGGGTAAAACAATGTCAATAGTTAAAATATTTTTAGGTCAAGGAAAATTATTAGAAATAAATTGCTGTATTTTTGATAATAAATAATTGGAGAGTAAAGTTTTTGTGTGACTTGGCAAATGTGTAAGATTTAAAAGTAGCATCTTTGAGCTTTGATTTAAGACAATTTTTGAAATATTTTAATTTTAAAAATTAATTATCTTTAATATTAATTTGTACAAGATACAGAACTAAGATTTTTTTGTTTAAAATAGTGATGCCTACAAGTAGGTATATATGCTTAGTTTTTTCATAAGCAAAAAGAGCTTAAACTAGTCAATGACCAATAGTGCTGGGTGGGTAAAACAACATCAATAGTTACATTAAAAAATATTGTTAGAGCTAGGAAAACTATTAGAAATAAATTGCTGTACTTTAGATAATAAATAATTTAATAGTAAACTTTTTGTGCAACTTGGCAACACTGCGTAAGACAAAAGTAGCATATCTGAGCTTTGATTTGAGAAAATTTGTGAAATTTTTAAATAAAAAGCACAAGATATGGAACTAAGTTTTTTGTTTAAAATAGTGATCGTACAAGTATGTATGCTTAATTTTTTAATAAGCAAAAAGAGCTCAAACTAGATAATGTGTTGTTGTTCATCAAAACCACACGACATTTATCTGGCGACAATTTTTAGAAGTCTGAAATTTTGATCAAATTTACATTATTATTCCAATCATTCATTACACAGAAGCTCTTCAAAAAATATGTTACAAGTTTTTACTCACTGTAAAAATAACTTAATCTAGACAAGAAACATGGATAACTAGTTATAACCTATGTATAGAATGGTTTCAACTTCCATATATATGGGGTGACAACTTAAAAACTTGCACTGGTTGTATCTGATGAACTAAAAATAATATCAGAAAATCGTTTATAGAATATAAAGACACAACTCAATCCTCTATGGATTGCCTCATTGGAAAGCTAGTAGGAAATGCGTTTCAACATAAATATTTCTACTCTCTATTCAACTTAAATGCAAGTTACTTTTAAACGCAATAGCCCTTGACCACAGCACATTGAGCTAGAGGGTAGGGAAACATCCAAAACTGGATCACTGGGCTGGCCAATAGCAGTCGCCTTGTGCATGTCATGCTGTAAGGGGCTATTGTGTTTATGCCTTACTGGCATTTAAGTTGAATAGAGATTAGTCCAGAAGTACAAAATAAATTGTTTTTATTAGGTTGTATTATTCTGATATCATCTTTAGTTCATAAGTTATCATTGTAGGTTTTTAAATATATTTTTTCTATAGTATTTATCTCATTCAGTTTTAATATGGGACAAACTTAAGTATTATTTCAAAGATAGAGGTTGGTATAGAAAAGCTACTCATGTTTTGTGTTAACACTGTCAAGAATTTTTTTTGTTGAAATTTTTTATCAGTATAGTACCAAAACAAGTTTTAACTGCATTCAATTGGTTTTGAAAAAATTTATTTTAAAATTATGGAAGTCGATACCCCTGAAATTTCTATCAAGTTTATGATTTATAATTTTTTTTTTTTGAACATACCCTATTATATCCTTTTAATTTTAAAACCATGTTGAATTTTTCATTTATTTATTATTTTTTTCACAGCTTTTATATATTTTACAAAATACAATATTAAAAAAGCTTTGCAAATATAAAGAATTTGAGTGCCTTTCTGTAACACTGATTTGCTGAAACAACATTTGAAGACTTGTTTTTTCTATATATCAACTAGATACTAATCTGGTTATTTTTTCTATGGATGCATAGGTCCCCATTCGGGTTAAATGAATGCTATGAGGAGCTGTGGTAGTAGCACTTATATAGGAGTTTGATTTTTTTTAGTGTTTACTAAGCACAGATTATAAGTTGCATTATGGCCATACCTGAAAAATTAGTACATATCTTCGTGGTGTCTTGCGAATGATATGTGCAAATACAACCCATTGGCATTAACAATGTTCTTTATTCAATCTATATATGGTTAGTATAGCCATTTGAATAATTAAGACTGATACAGACATTTTATTATCTGATTTTGTTGTTCAAAATAGTAAAAATATTTTTTTCACAATATTTACTTACCTAGATATTTTAAGCTCAAAAATATAGTATATTAGTTTAATAATTCTAAAAGTGAAATGTTTGTAGCATTCTTAATTTTTTAAGTGGCTTTGTTAATTTTATACAGATTACACTTACTTGTAAACTTTGCTTAGCAAACAGTAAGAGTGTATCTTGACTATTATTTTTGTGTTTATTTATTATTTGTTCTCAGTAGTTTTTTACTATTTGTTTACTTTTATTTTATGTAAAAAGCTGCTGAAACATGCATGCTAAATACAGTCATAGTTGCTAGTTTAAGATGCAGTAATATTGTATAAAAAAACTGGAACTCTTTAGAATGCCTTTCAGCTATAATGATTTTATTAGTTGCAAGTATATATTTTTAAGAGCAATAATAATTTTATAATTGATCACAAATAACTTCAATTATAAAAAGCTCCTAAATTAATATATACATACAATTAACAATTTTTTTATTATTGTTGGACATTCTTTAGATTTCCAGTTCCTCCTAAATGTATCTTAAAAGCTACTTGGCTGCTATTTATACCCCTAAACAATATAGAGTCAAGATACAGACAAAAAAATATGTTGATATCTCTAACTGTATGATGTTCCGTACATCTGGGTTAAAGATGCCCCTATATCGGTGCTTCGCACCTTTCAAAGGGTTTTTCCAAATAAATAAAAAACCTGCTCACTTAGCTGAAGCCTCCGGCCAAACCAGCAGGAACTGCTCAGCAGCAAATTAGACCACCACAACAGGCACAGCAACAGTCTAGCACTATCCAGTTTAGAAATCAAGCTCAGACCCAACAGGTATTATTTTTTTTTAAATGAGTATACTTTTAGGTGACTATTTGATTAGTACTTCAACAATAATAGCCTAAAACTTAGAACTAATTTGATATTTTTGTGATTCTAATATTGCCAAATTCTCTCCTAATGTGCTTTTTAGCTATTTATCTTAAATGTTGCTTAATTCACAATTACAATATATCTATTATTTTTTTTTAACTCATTTGTCCTGGGTCAGAGCTGGGCAGAGTACATCATTAAAGACTCATATGTATCTAAGTATAAGTACTTATACAGTGAGCATCATAAGTCTTACCCTCCCCCCCCGTATCTAACTCGTTACTGGAGTTTTGTTAGGAAAATCGCTGAGACGTCGATTTTTGATTTCTACCATGTACATTTTTGTATGAATAGTTTACCCTTAATTTCATCCCTTACTAAAGGGAGCAACCCTTTCGAAAAATTTAAATGGCATGGGGTGGTGAGTGATAGCTCATTTGGAAGGGGGTTTAATTCTCTATTCAACCATGCAAAACATTTTGAAATTTGCCTCATTAATTCTCGACTAATTATTATTTCAGATTAGCGGAAATTAAGGTAGCGCACTCATCCTAAGAATTAAAATTCGGCCCTGCATGATATCGGTTTTGGTTCAGACTTTTTGCCATTAGATAAGGTCCCTGTTAGTTTAGTTGCTTTCCTATTTGTGATGTTTTGTTGTTTTTAAACATTAATAAATCAACACGTATTGAAGCAAATTTTAAAATTTTTTGCACGGTTGAATAGAGAATAAAACCCCCTTTCAAATGAGCTATCACTCACCACCCCATGCAATTTAAATTTTTCGAAAGGGTTGCTCCCCTCCAGTAAGGGATGAAATTAAGGGTAAACTATTCATACAAAAATGTACATTGTAGAAATCAAAAATCGACGTGTCTCGGCGATTTTCCTAACAAGACTCCAGTAACGAGTTAGATAGGGGGGGGGGGGGTAAGACTTATGATGCTCACTGTATGAATAATACTTAAAACAAATTAGTACTTTTGCAAATTTAAGAGAGTACTCGTGAAAAAATCGAGTAACGAGTATGAGTACCTATTTTAAATAATTCTAGTTAGTGACTAAAAATGTTATAAATGTATACTTTTCTATGTAGAGTCTGATTTTTCTAATGTCCCTACTTCTATGTATTTGCATTTATGATTCTGTGAATAATAATTAATCTTTAAAAACCAAAAATGCAATTAACTTAGATAAATAAATTTATACTTATAGTCATTATATTTTTGGACAGTCAGCACCAAACATCAATTTACCAAATAACACTTCCTAATCGTAACAACTCACATCACCACCTATGCACTGAACAAACTTTCTGACAAAACAAAAAATGTAAAAATGAAAAATAATAGTAAGTGGTGTAATTTTGTGAGTAAGACAGAACAAATAAAACAAGCTGAGGATTGCCTAGGCTTGTGCACGAGTCAGTACTCGTTACTCGTCAGCTGTAGGAATCAGAAGTACTGAGTACTCTAAAATATAAAGTACCTACTCGAAAATTTTCGAGTATTGAGTCCCATCAGATTGAAAGTACTGAGTACTTTGAGTACAATTTACTGAGTACTGTCTAGCTCTGTCTTGGGTGAACGAAACGTTTTAAAGGGAGATACTGGATATTGATTAATTTTAAACAAGTATTAACTCTTTTCTTGAAAAAATATTTAAAGGGCAAAACGGAACACAATACCTAATGGAGGATGCCATAAGCATCTCATCAGTATTGTTTTTTTTTTTAATTTATGTTCATATGATAGCTATATGCTGTTTAGTTTATTTATAAATCCAGTGTAGCTATGAAATTTAAACATCACTTTCTATATAGCAATACTGACACTGTCTCTACCAAAACAATATAACATTGCCACGTTGTTTTCCGTTTTTCTTTAGAACAGTTGTAATTTTTCCTATAGCTAAACTTTTTACAGAAAATATTTTATTTTGTCATTAAAATAACAAAAGGATTTTTTATGGTACTTCCAGACCTAGGTACTGTCTAAAAATTAAAGGTATAGTTATAGTACTATTATTTGCACTTTATAGTTGTTTAGATAGTGGAATACTTTCTACCAAAATTGACAATGATGGGAAATATGCATTTATGTGCCTTAAAGAAAAGCATCATCAATCTATTATATAAAATAAGTCATCGTTTGTTACTGATGATTGATAAATTAAGTATTAAAGGCTCTCTATCAAATTCACTTTATCGAAAAATTCCTCTTGATTCCATTGTTGATGAATATTTTTAATTACAATATGTAGAAACACCTACATATAACAATATCTAAAAACCTATACTAAATATGTGTTTCTTTTTGTGACATATTAACAAATTTCATCGTATGTAATACATTAGATTTTTTTCTCTTCTAATATAACTTTAATTGTACTTTATCTTTTAGAACATTCCAAATATATATTATTTATTGGGCAAACATTAATAATTTAGCAGGGATAACATCACATTTAATTTATCAGTGACAGGATTTTTGCAGCCAATCTAATAAATAACAGTGACTATTATACTGCTCTCATAAGCCAAAAAGTGGTATCTCAGTTGAAGCGAGTTTCAAAAAAAAAAACATTTTATAAAAGTTGTTTTCGCATTCGTTTGAGCCGAAAAAAATTATTTGGGTACTGCTTGATTACTTTATATTTTTTCTTGTTTTTGAATATTACTTTTGAAGTCGTATAAGGATAAGCAGCCATTTAGCTTACTAATGGCATACACCCAAGCCTTTTAGTAAATACAAGTGAAGTTAAGATATGTAAATTTTACTTGTTTTTTTTTGCTATTTTTCTTAGTTCATCTGATGCGGAATTTTTCCAATCTATCCGATGTGTTAAAAAAATAAAAAAAAGTTTTTTTTAGATACCGCTTTTTGGCTAAGGAGAGAGAGGCAGTATAATGTTCCCAGATTTTTTCATATAACTTGACAACCCTGCTTCAAATGATAAAACTGATATGCCACAACACATAACCTCAAAATAATGTTAATTAGGCATTTCAACGACCTGTCAAAATGCTGCCAGTGGGAACTGACAGTTTTAGATATGGCAACCTTGTGGGCATATTGCCATTGGCAGGATCCGAAAATGTCAATACGCCCTTGAATAAAAGTATAATAATTAGCGATTTATATGTGTTTGTGTTAAAATATTAATGTTAATAAAATAATGTTAAATGTTTTTTTTTATTAATTATTTTTGTTTTTTCTTTTTAATCTGAGGTAAAATAAACAGTTTTGTTGTTTAGAATATAGGTTTTTGCTAATATGATTGGGTTAAAATTTAAAATATAGTTTGTGCAAGAAACAATACTGTTTTTTAATGAAATAATTAAATTTTAAAAATTATATATATATCGGATATATATCAGATATATATAATGTGATATGATATTTATATAAATATCATATTTTCGAACCCTGACTATAACTTAGGTCTGGCGATCGCTGGCTCTTAAGGTGATTACAGCACCTCCTTATAATTTTCGGACAAGGATATCTCAAAAAGTAATTTTTTTTAAAAAATTAAAATTTTAATTCCTTCCAGTTTCCGAGAAAAAAAATCAAAGGGCTTTAAATTTTGAAATATCATAATGAAAATAAATGCATTCCTCAACAGCACTATTCTTAATATAATCCCCAAATTTAAGCTCTTAATCTCTTGTTAATGTTTTTTTAAAATTCGCCGAAATTATAGGCTAAAAGGCCTCGTTAAGTGCTATTTTTTGGTTTAAACTGGTGTAAATCATTGCAAGAAACGAATGATGACTCAGAGTGTACGATACGATAGTTACAGACGCGTCACCCACGAGGCGTTTTAGCCACTAATTTCGGCGAATTTTAAAAAAATCATTAACAAGAGATTAAGAGCTTAAATTTGGGGATTATATTAAGAATAGTGCTTTTGAGGAATGCATTTATTTTAATTATGATATTTCAAAATTTAAAGCCTTTTGATTTTTTTCTCGGAAACTGGAAGGAATTAAACTTTAAAAAATATGCATATTCTAGATATTATTGCCTAATTTATTTTGCCTAAATTTAAATTTTCTAAAAAAATTACTTTTTGAGAAATCCTTGTCCGAAAAATATAAGGGGGTGCTGTAATCACCTTAACCTTTATAACAACGTACATGTTTTTAAATTTTAGGAATTGTTTATCCTTCGGTTTATCCAGAACTATATTTTTTTATTTAAAAATTAAATTAATGACACGAAATATTTTTTTAAATAGCAACAGACTAAACCGCAGCAAACAGCTGCGCAACAAGCGGCTGCGACAGCAGCTGCTCAACAACAAGCGGCGGCAGCAGCTGCTCAACAACAAGCGGCGGCAGCAGCTGCACAACAACAAGCGGCGGCGGCAGCTGCTACAGTAGCAGCTCAACAAGCGACTGCAGCGGCGGCTGCTGCAGCAGCAGCTGCACAACAAGTAACGCAACATGCTGCTGCTGCACCGCAACTGGCCGATACAAATGGAACTGCAATGGAAACGGATGATGTAAAGCCGAAAAAGCCTTTCTGGGCTAGAGGTGGTAAGTTTATAAATGATTTTTTTTATCGAACAAAGATAAACACTTGTAAATTCATTTAAGTAAGCACAGTATAAATAAATAAATAAATTAAAATGTTTTTACTCAAATAAGTCATTGAATAAGGTAAAATATTACATTAATAATAATTTTTACTGCCTGAAAAACAATACATCATATATTTTTTGCTAGTTTTTATTTTATAAAATTCGATTACCAAACTTGAAAGGGTCTTAAAAAGTAAATTTCTAATGATGACAAATCACTGCGCAAATCTGATAAGAAGACCCATTATATTTTGTTTTCATTTTACAAAGGGTTCTTATATGATTTAACAAATTCTGATACATATTTTTACCGTTAATTTCATACCCTCTCTTACTAAAATTAATACTGATTTCACTAATAGGACCACGTGTTCCAGGTGGAAAGGTTACTAAAAAAGAAAAAGTACGTAGACGCAATGTAAGATTAAGCAAAATGTTGCAACCAAAAAATGCGGTCATGATTTTGAATGAATTGGTGAAAAATACTTCGTATATGGTAGATGAATTACCATTGAAACATGAAGGTAACCAGTTTAAAGCTACAGTTATGTACGAAGGAGTTGAACATGCCGGATATGGTAAGTTTTTTTTATACTTTATGTAAACTTAACACTGTTTATACAACCCCAGTAATGCATGAATTGGATATAAAAAAATGCACTATATTAAATTATAAAGAGTTATTTATTTCATGTCTACTAACAAAAAAAAAAATAAGATTATTTGAAAATAAATAATTTGAACTTTTGACAAAATTTTATTTAAATTAAAGTATATGTATACATGTATTTAAAATAATTGGCGGCCCATATTGGACCAAAAGGTTTGCAGTATGTCTGCCTAAGTTATCACTGACAGGGTATTGAAAAAAAAATTACAATATTCTCAAGGGTAATACCACGAGAGGTGAGAATTTTTCTAGATCATTTTGTTGTTTCTTTGGAAATGATGCGTCTAAATTTCATGAAACAAAATCCTTCAATTTTCGGACTGATACGTTACTCTGGTAATGAATTGAATTTTTTAAATCCAACCCTTTTGACAAACTTCCCATTGAAGTTTCTCATAAATCATTGATGCGTCACTCTGGAAATGAATTGATTTTTTTTTTAATCCAATTGGGATTTAGTGTTTTTAGATACAGTTTGTGTTGATTAGCGTCTCTTGGAATAAAAAATTCATTGGTTAATGTATTATAGCGTTAAATAATCGAAAACTTCAAAATTTCTTGGATTTTGTCTTTCAGTTCATCTACGCTACGGACGTGAGTTATACCCAGTCTTTTTCTCATTTGGTGCCAGTTTCTCAAAGGAAGATGAGTGTGGGCTGCTTGAGATCAATTTTAAAAGGGGAGTATGATTTTCTTCAAACCAATGAGTTATAATGTTGGCCATATGGCGTGCTGCACCAGTCTGTTTGAAAAATAATTCTTCATTAACCCTTGGGTATATAATTTATCGTCAATAGCTCTTTTTCCGAAATTGATACATATTTTGCAGTATTGACAGTGCTGTCAATAAAAACAAGTTTTAAGAGTGTTGAAAATGATTTTTCTATCTTTGCTTTTTTCTTCTTTTTCTGTTGCGGTATTAATCAAGGGAGTAGTTGTTTTCAGGAGGGAAACGGTCGCTCGACTTTGCTGTGACATGGACTTAGATTATTTCTTTTCCTTTGATATTCATATAATTTAATATTAATAGTGCAATTTGGTTATAATAAAAAGTTTGGTCCAATTTCTGTGCGATATTTATGTATAATAAATTAGTATTTCATTGAAGAACACCAGTATTCAAACCATGATTCAGTCATATGTATATTTATTGGTCGATTTATTGCAATACCACATGGAGTCAGCAAGGTTATTTAATTCATAAATTACTCAGCGTTACACCTGTGGCAGATTAAAGTCAAGTGAGAGTACTTAAAATGACCGTTCTGATTATTTTTTGTTTGTCCTTGCTGAAACTGAGCTTTACAGAGAGTTGACTTTTCAAAATATCTTACTGAAAAGTCGTAGTTTCAAAGCTTACATTTAAATACCAATATGATATATTTAGTTTGTATAATTGTGGATTCCAATAAAGTGATAATTATGTAGATTTTGAAATTCTATTTCATTAAATAATTTCAAATATTTGTTAGGTCGTAGTAAGATCCAAGCCAAAAACACAGCTGCTGAAGCTGCACTCAAACATTACGTGAAAACTAACAAACTGACAGAAGTGAAAAAAGATGAAGAAGGTAATGAAAAGATGGATGTAGCTGAAGATGATGCCAACCAGTCACCTTTGCCATGGCAACATGTTGCCTCATTCGCTCTGTACAAACTCTTCTCTTCATGGGGGGAAGACCCGAATCTTGTTAAGGTTAGATCTTGATTTGTTTTCTGTTTTACAGCTTCTAATCTTTGGTTTCATTCATATTATTAATAATTTGTGTTTTGTTTCAGAACCAAACCCAAAATCTTTCCTCTAGTGAAAAAATGCATGAAAACAAACCGGCCAAAAAGATGCCAGACAATCCTGAGACCATCAATCCCTTGATGCTTATCAACCAAATGTTGCCGCAAGCGCAATTTGAGGAAATCGGCAAGACTGGCAACCCACCAAATGTGGTCTTCTCCTTCAAATGTATCGTTGATGAACATGTGTTTATGGGAACTGGTAAGTTTATTAGATGTTTTTAATGACTGCCTATTTCTAAGTATGAGGTTCAATGAGCAGCGCTGGTGAGCACACTACACCCTAACTATTGGATTTTGAAGATTAGGCAATAGACGTATATACTTTCACCGCTGCTGTGGGGGGAGGTGTTACATATTTTCAAAAATGTAAAGAAAAACGGGCACGTGGAAATATTCGAGCGCGTCAGATATTAATAGTCTCTCTGATAATTGCGGTATGTTAATCTGCCGGTTTGCATGGTGGCATGGGAGGGGAGAAATAAATAAAAAATTGATTCGAGCACGTCAGATATTTAGTGGCGATGTTAAGTAAATCCGAAAGATGCTCACATTCAAAAGACTGAAAATTCAGACGGTAATTGAAAATAAAAAAAAAATCGCCATTTTGAAATATTCGAGCACATCAGATTAATATATACACAGTTCAACTTGATGTCCTAGATGTGCTGTCTCCTATAAACTGACTATTATCTGGAGGGATTTTCTTATCTGATGATTTGAAAGAAAAAAATTATTCATGATTTTAGTTTTAGTTTTTATGACCTGAAAACCGGCGGCTAATAAAAAAAACTATTTTATAAATTGACCTTATCAATATTCCTAGCTCATAGATTTTTTTTACATTTTCATGAGTTTTATCACCTCTCGAAATTGTTTGCAACATTTCAATTACACATCTATAAAGCTTCTTTGTACCTGTTAAACTTGGGCATTATACAAAAGACAAGTATTATTATTTTATATATAATTTTTTTTTGTATTTTCAAAGACATTACTAACATTTACCTAATGTTTTGCACTGATTCTGTGTTCCTGGTAAAACGTGATTAAATTCATTATTGGTTCTGAATCAGTTATGTTGAAAGACTTACTTGTTTGCAGTTTTCTCATTTACACTTGAAAAAGTAATAGGGCGGCGAATTTAAGGAAGTCTTGTTCCCCCTCTTTATCTAATTAGTGGTTATTAATTAATTCAGAATTTTTTCGGGGAACCAAGCTATTATTATTTACTCTTTTTACTATAAATCTTAATGAAAAATATTTTTTTTAGGACCGAACAAGAAGGCAGCAAAGAAAATGGCAGCTTTTGGAGCGTGCAATAAAGTTTTGGATATTAAATATCCACCAGAAGTATATTCTCCTATATATTAATTTATACATTTATTTTTCCCATGGAAAATATCTCATAGTATTTTATTTATTGATAAATCTTTTTTTATTATTTGATTCACTTAGGACTAGTGAAATGTTTTATAATTAATTATTGTGAAAAAATTTATTTGCAGTAGTGATTTATTATATTTTAATGTAGTAATTTTTATATTGAAATTACAATTATTAAAACGAAAATAAATGTAATAAGTTTATTGTATTGTTTTAATAATGTAACTGTGTTATATGGGATAAAGAGTCGATCAGTTTTTAGATTGGTGATTGAATTTATTTGTTAGTCAGAAATATGAATATTGTTTGTTGATGTACTTTTAATTTACAAGTTGGGTTTTACAAGAAAAATATTCATTTATTTTAATTGTATTTTTTTTTTTTCATGTTTCTTCGGGTAGTCACGCCCTCCCGTAGTCGGCGTCTATGGTTATGACTAGAAGTAGCGAATTCGGAGCCGATTATCAGAAACAATTTTCTAATTTTTCTTTGGTTTATCCTCCCTAGGATTCTGGAATGTTCTGTGACGGTAGATAATTTCTATTTACTATTATAGATTACACACAGAACAATAATTATCAATCCTTCTTTGATAACTTGATAAAAAATATTTATTGAATAAATCATTTAACACTATTAAAAAAACGGTAGCCTTCAGGTAGTCAATCTGGAAGTTTTGATGATAGAGATGGAGAGAATATGTATAGTAATGCGTCAGCTATTTGCTCTGTATAATTTTTAATAGAATTTGCAAAAATGTATTTTTAGGTTTTAATAAAAGTATATGAATTTAGAATTCCAGTGGAAAGATTCATTAATTATAATATATTTTTAGTACTTTGGATAAAAAAAGTAAGTATTTTCATTAAAAAAATAACACATGTGCATAGAATACAACAATATTAACGAGAAAGTATGAAATGTTGCCTAATGAGGTTAAAGTTTAATGTTAACTTGAAATCATCATCATTAGAATGACAGAAAACGTGAAATTAATAAAACTGGTTTCCAATCAATCAGTCACAAAATTGCATTCCAGATATAGGCAATAATCAGAGGCAGAAATGTATCCTTTTCGAACATGTACCTGCTGTGTGAATCTAATATTTGAATATCAATTGCCCTTTTTAGGTATTTTGAAATTTTAGATGACTTTTTAGAAAATTATATTTCAACTTCATTCACAACAACCAACTATATTGCACACTTTGATGAATTAACATAAAAATAATATACTAAATGTTAAAATCTCATAAACTTTTTTTAACAGTACCTAAGGGATTTTGAAGAAAATAATAATTGTTTGAGTACCTATTTAAAACATTTCAGTTTTCTGATGTCTACTATTTCGAGCATTAATACGCCAAAATGTCGCCCTAAAGTGCTTGAATTATTATCAACAGGTTTCGTATCGTTTTTGCTTCCTACCATGACTTCGCAGGAAGTGAATAGAGAATAATTCAGTTAAGTGAAATATGACAGGTGATCTGTTTGAGTATAAACTACAATTAAGTTTCAGAATTTCTTGACATTCCTGGTCTAAACGCAGAGAAGATCTAAAGTTTACAAGGTTTGTAGGTATGTTTTTATCTGAGAAAAAGTTAAATTGTATTGTGTGATGCACACATTGGAGATCAGTGGGGTTATCCCGAACTTTCCGCCATAAACGCATAGCAACGAAAGCGGACTTCTCAACAAAGTTTGATCACCAAAACTACACGCATGCAATTACGGTATTCTTTAATGCTAGACGATTTTGCTATTCGTAATTTTCATTTTTGTCGTAAGCTGTCATAATTATAAATCGTAAATGCTGATTGGTCTGAATAACTAAGGTTAGGATTTGAATGTCATTTTGAAAATATAATTCAATAATCATTAAACATGAACGCCGTAGTTTAAAAGTCGATAGGGACCAAAAGCAAACTCTTTAAGTATTATAAGGCCAATTCCAAAATTATATCGAATCAAAACCTAAAAAACAGCATAAATTTGCTGACATTTTAATATCTATAGGTCCATATTTTAATGTTTAACTTGTCTACGTCCTCAAATCTTAGCATTGAATGTCAAAACTTGGAAAAGCGAACAGCAAAACGCTACTCATATGTAACTTTTTTGAAAGCGCTTTACGTTTTTCAAATACGAACAGCACAGCAAGTAGAGAACACCAAAACGTTTGTACTTTACACTTCTGTTAGTTGTTTGTCGCGTTTCTAGAGACCCGAGCTGAGTGCTTTTAAAAACACTAGTTAGAGAATAAGCACAGAATAATAATGTGTGTGGAAAATGTATGTATCCTCTAAACATTTACAGCTGCTCCTCAACAATGCCAAAATCTAATAAGACTCCAGAGAACCAGGCCTTTTGAGTTAGTTCAGTGATGTTAGACTAAAACAGAGTATAGTGCGGTTAAGTGTTATACGTTAACGAGAGTGTAACTAAATAATTAAGACTCTAAAGTACACTATTGCCGCGTTTGAGAATCCACATCGGATGCATCTGAGATGTAGTAAATCTTTGATCACGTGATTCAGTATACGTAAATGTAATGGGATAGATGTGTCCGATGTGGATAAAAGAACGCTCGAGATGTAAAAAATGCATCCGATGTGGATTCTCAAACGCGGCATATATAGTGAGGAGAATCTTAGTTTATGAAGTTTTTCATCCCTAGATAAGTTATGTAAAAATAAAATTGCTAATTGATCTTAATCCCAGCAAACACTGATGTGCCGAAAACTTGTCGGCCGATGATTTAAATTATGGTACAAAAATATAGCAATTAAATAATGCAAAATAGGAATTGGCACTATTTTATCGCCTATTAAGTGTAAATTAATGTCATACTCCTCTACTACAAACTTGATATTTTTCTTAGGTGGCTCTAAAGCACTGTGCCAGCATTTACAAGTGACGGGGAATTGAATGCCAGGAAAACATCGGCCGCCTGGACGCAGGGATGCCGGCAGTGTACTCTATCATAAGTGCTTTGCCGACACTTCAAGTACTGTTTAGATGTATTGGGCCAGTGTTGGGCCGTTTATCTGTGTTTGTTGGGATGATTAGATTGTAATAATGGTAAATGTTGCTTTACTTGGAGCATTTATTAAAAAAACCTAGTTGTTTCAAATTAGTGCATTTAAATGAATTGGTGGAAATGAAGCAATTCGGTTCTATATTTTATGAAATATTCTTTAAAGCATATTTATTTGTTTGCTTCCCTTAAGTTGGCAACGTATCCTATAGGATACATCAAAAGTATTGTAATATAAATTGTTCAATACCTATATGTATTCTGGGTAATACGGAGTGGCCCAAAAGTCTGGAAACTGCCAATTATCTCGCAAAATGCTAGTCCTAATTGTACAAAATTTGGGATACGGAGATTTTAGATTTGATATTTGCAATGTTGCCAGATTTGCCGTTTCTCTAATATTATTAGTCACTTTGGTTTTTCAAATTCATCACCCTGTATATTCAGTCATTATTGGAATCTCCTATTCAATACGAGTTCATCCATATGTAACACTTATGATTTTATGTAGTTTGGAAGGTCTCAAATAAAACAATCGATAAGGGTACTGTTAACTCAAAAATGGAGCACATTTTGAACACTTGATAAAGTAACCATTATGTTAGAAATGTAATCTTTCAATTGTTACGTCTAATGCAGTTTAAAATAGTTTGTATTAAAAAATTTATTGAGACAATTAGGCGTTGCCAGACTTCTGTTTTATATTTATTAAAGACCTTCCAGAGTGTGTATAAATATAACGCGTCAGGCCCGAATCGTACCTTCATCGGACCAAGTTCGTCAGATTTGTACGGTGCTATATATGTGTCTATCACGGACCGGGCCAAATAGGATTTAATTAGGCCCGTTGCTTTCCATCGCGCGGTAGATCCATGACACTGTACAAATCTGATGAACCTGGGCCCGTTGTTGAGCCAGGCACATGGCCGCCGAGAGCCAGGTCGGGCCCCGGGACAATTTTCCAGGTCGGGCCCCGCGACAATTTTATAAAAAAATTAGGCACTTAAAAAAAGGTCCTCCTTCTTGTGCTCTTGAGGCTAACTTCTAAATATAAAAAACGTCCTCACCTAAAGCTACCGGACCCCCACTTGAACCCGGCCCCGGAAATTAATCCCGGCTACCACCCTCTCGTCGGCCCTGGCCAGGCACGGCACGTTTAGAAGCAAATTATTTCATTGTCAGCAAAAAACGTAAAAATCCATCGATAAGAAACATTATTTTGAATTTGTTATTACACGACAGGGCAGCTCTCATCACCCCGGACATAGTACATGTTGGTCATTCCTCCTCCCCCCCCCCCCTCTGTAAACAACTACACAGATGCCACTTTTTCAGTCTGTGGTCAGATGAGGGACTAGGTAATAGGTATAAAGCTACCACAGATCACTTAAAGCTACTCGCGCCACTTTTTCAGTCACAGTCCGATGAAAGGGTATGGTCTGTGGTCAGATGAGGGACTAGTTAATAGGTATAAAGCTACCACAGATCACTTAAAGCTACTCGCTTCAATGTGCAATGGAATTAGGTATTACAAAGAACTTAAGACATTATACCACTTTTGTAAGACTTTGTATTGCTGCAAAAATATTCTAAATCTACTGTACTGTTGGGAAATTCCAAAGTAGATATAAATTCCATTTATTATTTATTTGAATTGCTCATTTTGACTATTTTTTCTTTTTGTATAGGCAACAAGTATTACAAAAGTATAAAATGTTGCCTAACTCACTACTAACGTCACATCCTTTTAATGGTAGTAGGTTTGTTTGTTCTAGAAGCAAGTTCTAAAGCTTTCTAGAACATTTTAAGCATGCGCAATTAAAAAATACCCGTCTTCTTTTTTAATTGCGCATGCTTGATAAGTTTGGATTTTGTTCGGAACATCTACTGGAACAAACCTAGTTTAATCAATACGTCACTTCCTCACTCACTCCCTTTTCCTTCCTTTATTGCGGACATTTTGCCCATTTCGAGAAGTGGCGTTATTTGTGAGTGTGTAAATAATACATTTTTTGCGTATTTTCATTCATAAAATATAAATAATAACTTCCAGAATGTCTTACAGTACACGTAGGAGTGGCGGCTATGGTAAGTTTGCAAAAATATTCATAAAATGTTAACTTTTTAAAACGCATTAGAATTTTGACCTCTATATTGTGATTCATATCGATCGTGGAAATTTTTTGGTACAAAAGAAATATTTTTTAGCTGGCCAGCAACAACAGCAACCTCCTCCACAACAAAATTTAGGAAATATCGGCCAGCGGAGGCCTGGCCCTGTAGTGACAAACAATTTTGTAGCGAGTGGACAGGTAGGCCTAATTCTAATTACAAATAAATGCTGTTACTTTTATTGATTCTTTACCTTTTTTAAATTTATTATAAAATTGATTTGAATAAAATGCTACTTTCCTCTAAGCTCAAACATTGAATTAAAATTTGATAATCAATATTTGTTTGGAGAATAATGCCATAACTAATTTCATAGACTCACTATCTTATTTAAGTTTTTAAATGACCTAAATCATTAATTAAAATTAAATACATAATTTTAATGGACGTTCTATAGTTCACCTCAGTATTTCGCCTAATATATTTCTTGAATATAATCAAAAAAACAAATAATAAAAAAATAGACATTTTTTATAATTAATTACAAACTCAGGTATTTTGATAGCTGTAAGTCAAAATATAATAATAATGTAATCATGTAACAATAGTGGATAAAACAAATAAAGATTTATGGATTACTACAATAGTCTGGCCTTTTGGTTATATCCAGTGCCATTAAAAAAAAAAAAAAAAAAAAAAAAAAAATTTCTTGAATAAATACATATCCATAAATTTTGAGCCATTTTAGACTAGTAGTGGAATTTATAAAAAATTATGTCTAAAAAAAACCTTTAAATATTCTACTTGTTTTTGATTATGGAAAACTAAGCATACATACTTGTAGGTATCACTTGAGGGGGTAGTCACAGGCGATTTTTTAGGATAGAAAATCTCCATTTGTAAAGATCTCATGACTTCATAGATCTCCATGAATATCCTTGGATCTCAATGGAGATCATTTGGATTTTCATGGATCTCCTCTGCACCTCCATATACATTTAATTTAATATGGAATTAGATCTTTAAAAAAACACGTTTTTACTGTCAGAATCCATATTTATAATATGGATAAATCATAAAGTTTTTAGAGGCAGCAAGTAGACTATTATGAATTTTATGTATAGAGAGGTAGAATTTGGGGGGTACGGTCGACTTTAGGTCCAGTAAAATTTTAAAGAAATTTATTTTTTATCAGTAAGAGCGTATTTTAAATAGTACATTAAAAAAAAAATTGCAGCAAATGCATTATTTAAGCCAAAAAAAATTATTTAATTTCTATAAAAATCAGCATTTTGACGACTAAACATGGAAACTGGATGGTTTCTGTCAAATTTAGTAAATATAATTACAACGTTGCCGGATTGTGATAAAATTAGTAGATAATGGAAAATTGTGATTGCGCATACTGATCCATAAATATGCAACAAGAAAACGAAGCAACGACTTATCGTAGGGGGCCGCCACCCTACGATAAGTCGTAGAGTAGCAGCCGCCACCAAAAAACATTAACCCATACCTGGCTACGCCGACCGGCATAGACTCCAACGGCCTGGACACAGCTCAAATTGAATTGAAAACATAAACTTTTTTTACATAATTTCTTGCGATTGCGCATACCAGTCCATAAATATGTAACAAGAAAACGAAGCAAAGACTTATCATAGGGTGGCGGCTTCGCCGCCACCTTACGATAAGTCTTAGAGTGGCGGCTTCGCCGCTACCAAAAAACATCAACCCATACCTGGCTACGCCGACCGGCATAGACTCCAACGGCCTGGACACAGCTCAAATTGAATATTTGAAATGAAAAGTCTCATATAAACACATTTATATTCTGGTTTTATAATTTGGCTTGGAGCTATTGAAAAAAAAGCCACTGTCATTCCTGTTATGTACGTTCTTTTACTATGTTTAGCAACTCCACACATTTATAGAAATAAACATGTTATTCATAAAAAATAATATAAAATGGTATTACCATGAATATATTTATTTATAACAAATAACAAAAAGCAATTGGCAACATCGCCAAAATCACGCACAGGCGCTCTTAGTGTGACTGTCAAATCGAACAAATTAAAAACAATATGGCTACCTGAGAATGTAGTGAATAATTGCATATTCTTAATTTTTTAGCTTACAAATGTGTTTTAATAATATTTGTTACTTTAATTAGGTTAGTGCACACTTATAGAAGATTAAAAAGTGTAAAAATATTATGGTTTTACTTAATCTTTATGGAAAAAGTGACAAAATTACTGGACCTAATATCGACCATAGCTGAAGTTGGAAAGGCTTTAACAATTTCGAGTAAATAGTTTAATAAATTGTGAATAGCCTTTGAAATTTTGTAAAATTATTATTTGAATATTATAAAACATGTTTAATAATTATTTATAGTCCATAAATACATGGAATTGTCCGGTTCCGCTGGTAACAATTTAAAATTACTTATTCTATGAAATGACACTGGCCGGTAAACATTACTGCGAAATTCTTGAAGCCCTCCGACCATCCCTCCGACCATCCCTCCGACCAGGGTTGCCAACTTTTCAAATTCCATTTACCTTACCGCGCAATTCAAATTACCGTACATGGCCTGGCCAGTACCGTACACTTTTATTTTGTAAAAAAAAACTATATTGTGTAACTCTTCGTGTCGTGTTTCTAAAAAAAAAAAAAAAAAAAAAAAAAAAAAAAGTCCTCATCATATTATTTTAATCATCGTCTGGTCCTTTTACCTAGCTTCTAAAAAAAGGCCTTATATTAGCTTATATTTTTGTACAGACTAGGTCCTTTTGAAGTTTTTAAGAACATCTGCTGCATTTTTACATTGGACAATGTCATTCTAATCTTTATTAGGTAATTTAATGGAGTCGGTCCTTCTTGCACAACTCAGTCTTTGCTAATTCTGTTGAAAATACCGTACGTATACCGTACTTTTTATGTAAATACCGTACTTTTATGTACGGTAATGACTTTGGACCATATATCGTACATTAATTGAAATTACCGTACAAGTACGGTAATTACCGTACGATTGGCAACCCTGCCTCCGACGTGGTTTGAAGTTTACCCCCTCTCTACCTACCAAAAGTCTTTCCAACTTCTACTTGTGATCTAATACTTGACCTAATAATAGTAGATTATGTACCATGGCAGAAAATAGATTATTACTGATGAAGGACTGTATTGTTAACTAAATTTTACTCATAACGTGTTATGGTATTTTAGAGAAGAAACAACATCTGAACATGAAATTAATGTTTAAATAAAAAAAAAGTATGACATCAACATAGTTTTATTAAAATAAAAAAGTATTAGGTACATTGATCTTTAGTAACACATGACTTTGTCAAAATAATATTAAAACTCACATATAAAGCTTGTTTTGGTTCTTTCACAAACTAGTTCAGAATCGGTGAATTACAGTCGTTCAGCTCAATTGGTCATTATATTATCACGACGTATTCTTTAAAAATGAATTCGTCAGCTGTATTGGAGAACTAGAATCAAGGGTTCTGTTTGTACCAAAACAAACCCAGATATAGCAGGGGCAGAAGTTGGAAAGGCCTTTGGTAGGTAGAGAGGGGGTAAAAGTCAAACCACGTCGGACATCTTCAAGAATTTCGCAGTAATGTTTACCTGCCAGTGTCGTTTCATAGAATAAGTAATTTTAAATTGTTACCGACGGAACCCGACAATCGCGTATATTTATGGACTATAATTAATTATTAAACATTTATTATAATATCGAAATCATAATTCTACAAAATTTCAACAGTTATTCACAATTTATTAAACTACTCGAAATTTTTATTAACATCTATAAAATAAGTAATTTTAAATTGTTACTGACGGAACCCGACAATCGCGTATATTTATGGACTATAATTAATTATTAAACATTTATTATAATATCAAAATCATAATTCTACAAAATTTCAACAGTTATTCACAATTTATTAAACTACTCGAAATTTTTATTAACATCTATAAAATAATTTGTACACCAATATATTGCGTCCACTTCGTTTAGATCCGCCACAAATCTGTCAATTTATGTGTATAAAGTGGGAGAACTGGCAAAAGCCTTTCCAACTTCTGTTCCTGCTATACTAAACAAAAACATTGAAAAAGACAAACCCTTTTAGGTATCATAAAATTAAAGAAAAAAAAAACGGGAATACCAATAAATATAGAATAACAAAAAACTTTTTGTAGAAGAACACTGCGTAGAAAAATAAACTTTATATAATTGCTGTAATGATAACTAAAAAAATATTAAAAAGAAAAACAAATACATTTGTTTTTGACCTAATAAACATAAAGTAGGAACAAGTTACCAGTATAAAAGGAACAAAAAAAAACTAAACTGTTTCTAAGACAAATCTGATTTAAACATTTCTTTTTTTTTAAGATTTATTTACTCCATCTAATCTTGACAGTTTCATTGGGTGGGTACCCAATATTGCAGTGGGCCCATAAATAATTTGAATGAGCTCTATTAGTTGCAGATCATTGTTTCGGCGAATAAAAATCTCAAAGGTATTCTTTCATAAAATTAATTAGGATATTTTCAGTTAGGTTTTCTTGATCTTGATTAACCACCTTCGAAACCAAAATTTAATAGTAAACGTGCACTTTGGCAACACAGTGTAAGACATAAAAGTAGCATATCTGGGCTTATGTCATTATTAATTTGCGCAAGATGGAACTAAGATTTTAAGCTATTGCATAGCTTTTATCGCGGGCTTTGAGCGCGGCGACCAAATAAAAAAAAAACGAAACCGTAACGAAAAAAACCTAACACCCCCCACTCCGATCGGCACAGCGGTGCGGCGTTAAACAATATTAACTTCTCATTTATTCAATAAAAGAAAATCGAAAAAGAAATTCCGTAACGAAAATAAACCTAACACCGACCGGCACAGCGGTGCGGCGTTGAAAGCCGTACATCGTCTAACGTCGTTTCACTTCGGCAGACTTCGGCACGGTGTTTGTGTGCGTGCGACTAGACGTATGCGTGTAGACTAGCTGCTAACTGCTCATAACTGCTGTTTAAGACACATTTTCGGAAAAATTGAATTTGAAAATGAATAATGATCCAAAAGAATCCGCAACAAAATATGGGACCACCATTGACGCGGTATTTTCCAGATATTTAGAGGATATCAAGTCTCAAACTTATGTTTCTTATTTCAGTTACCATAAACCTATAGTTTCAATGATAAAAATTCCTGAATAACCTACATGTATTGTAAGATAATAAAAATATTTTAAACAATATTAACTTCTCATTTATACAATAAAAGAAGAAAAAAATGTTTTCTTATCGGTCACCACGCTCAAAAAGTGTAACTTGAATTAATATTAAAGAAAAAACTTGAATTAAATCAAAGAAAAAAAAATACTGCATAAATAAATAATTATAATTGCATAAGTTGATAAAAAATGCTATGCAATAGCTTTACCGCGGCAGTCCCCGAGTGCCACGCGTATTTTTTTTTTGTTTAAAATAGTGTTCCTACAAGTACATATGCTTAATGTTTTCATAAGTGAAGAGGGCTCAAACTAGATGAAGTGTCTTATGTTATTGTTGTGTAATTCTATCAAAACCACAAGACACTTATCTGGCGAATAATTTTTTATTAAATTTACATTATTTTCCAATGATTCAGTACACAGATGATTTTCAAAAATATGTTACAAGTTTTTACTAATTGTAATAATAATTTTTTATCTAGACAAGACACATGGATGACTAGTTATACCCTATGTATAGAATGGTTTTAACTTCTATATATAATGGGGTGACAATTTAAAAATTTGCGGTGGTTGAACTAAGAATAATATCAATCAGAAAATGCTTAAGTTTGTTTCTTGAATATGAAGGGGAACTTAAATGTCAAAATTCATAACTCAATTCCCCATGCATCACCTGTATCTACAAAAAAAGAAAGAAAAGTAACCCCCTACCTATACATCATTGGAAGACTAGTGGGAAATGTGTTTCAATATACATATTTCTAGTACGAAATAAATTGTTTTATTAGATATTGTAAATTTTTAAATTGTCACTCCCTATATATTTTTTCTACAGTATTTTTTATCAGTATTTCAATTTGGGACAAACTTATTATTTTAAAGATACAGGTTGGTATAGAAAGGTTGCTCATGTTTTGTATTATCACTTTCAAAACAATTTTTCTATGTTGGAATTTTTTATCAGTGTACTGAGTATACAGCCAAAACAAATTTTAACTGCATTCAACGTGGTTTTAGGAAAATTAAATTTAAAATTATGCAGGTAGATACCCTGAAATGATTTTCGATATTTTAAAACAAATCCAATCATAACCTTTTAATTTTAAAACCATGTTAATTTTTTTATTTATTTATCAACTTCACAGCTTTTAAATTATATTTTACAATGGACAATATAAAAATAGCTTTACAAAAAAATTAAGTTGACATTATTTTTAAATAAAGTTCTTTTACATCTATTTGAGTGCCTTTCTGTAACATTGATTTGCTGAAACAACAATTGAAGACTTGTTTTTTTCTATATATCAACTAGATACTAATCTGGTTATTTTTTCTATGGATGCATAGGTCCCCATTCGGTTTAAATGAATGCTATGAGGAGCTGTGGTAGTAGCACTTATATAGGCGTTTGATTTTTTTTTAGTGTTTACTAAGCACAGATTATAAGTTGCATTATGGCCATACCTGAAAAATTAGTACATATCTTCGTGATGTCTTGCGAATGATATGTGCAAATACAACCCATTGGCACAACAATGTTCTTTATTCAATCTATATATGGTTAGTATAGCCATTTGAATAATTAAGACTGATACAGACATCTGACTTTTTTGATCAAAATAGTAAAAATATATTTTTTTTTTACAATATTTACCTATTTGATTATATTTTAATCTATTGAATTCACAAAAATATATTATATTAGTTTAATAATCCTTAAAGTGGAAATGTTTGTAGTATTCTTAATTTTTTAAGTGGCTTTGTTAACTTTATACAGATTACACTTACTTGTAAACTTTGCTTAGCAAACAGTAAGAGTGTATCTTGACTATTATTTTTGTGTTTATTTATTATTTGTTCTCAGTAGTTTTTTACTATTTGTTTACTTTTATTTTATGTAAAAAGCTGCTGAAACATGCATGCTAAATACAGTCATAGTTGCTAGTTTAAGATGCAGTAATATTGTATAAAAAACTGGAACTCTTTAAAATGCCTTTCAGCTATAATGATTTTATTAGTTGCCAAGTATATTTTTTTTAAGAGCGATAATCATTTTATAATTTGATCACAAATAACTTCAATTATAAAAAGCTCCCAAATTAATATATTCTTACAATTAATAAACTTTTTATCATTGTTGGACATCCTTTAGACTTCCAGTTCCCCCTAAATGTATCTTAAAAGCCACTTGGCTGCTATTTATACCCCTAAACAATATAGAGTCAAGATACAGACAAAAAAAAATATGTTGATATCTCTAACCGTATGATGTTCCGTACATCTGGGTTAAAGATGCCCCTATATCGGTGCTTCGCACCTTTCAAAGGGTTTTTCCAAATAAATAAAAAAACCTGCTCACGTAGCTGAAACCTCAGACCAAACCAGCAGGAGCTGCTCAGCAGCAAATTAGACCACCACAACAGGCTCAGCAGACGCAGCAACAGTCCAGCACTATCCAGTTTAGAAATCAGGCTCAGACCCAACAGGTGTGTATAATTTTTTTTTAAATGCATATCATTTTAGGTGACCCTATTTAATTAGTACTTCCAACAAAAGTAGCCTAAAACTTTCTGAACTAATTTGACATTTTTGTGATTCTAAGATTGCCAAATTCTCTCTTAATGCGCTTTTTTGTTATTTATCTTAATGAAACACTTATTTTTTTTAAACTCATTTGTCTTGGGTCAGAGCAGGTCAGAGTACCACATTAAAGTACTCATGTGTACTTCACATTAAGTAGCTTCACAAAGTACTCATAATATCTGAGCATGAGTACTTGTATGAATAATACTTAAAACAAATTAATACTTTCGCAAATTTTTAGAGAGTACTTGTGAAAAAATCGAGTAACAAGTACCTATTTTAAATAATTCTAGTTTGTGCCTAAAAATGTTATAAATGTCTTACATCCTTTAATTCTTTGTTAGTTCATTCTAATTTAAATTTGTACTTTTCCGTGTAGATTAGAGTAATTTTTCTAATGTACTTCTTCATATTTGCATTTACGATACTGTGAATAAAAATTAATCTTTAAAAACCCAAAATTCAATTAACATATAAATGGATTCTTACTTATAATCATTATACGGAGTGTTCCGCATAAGTACCGACACAACAGGTGCATGTTGGGTACCCCAAAATATGATGATTTAATGCAATTTACCTCTATACCAAGTTGTGCCCCCAAGGAGTTATGGACTTCATTATTATTCATTGACACAGGCACTTTGACCGTAAGCCTGTCACAACTGACAACTAACAATACATGACAAATAGGCCTTTTCATCATGTGATGAGCGCAAGCGCAGCCACCATTTTAAAATAGTGCCAATTCAAAAGTTTTGTACTGTTTTGATCAACAATGGTTGGAAAAGCAATATTATCTCTACATACAAATCAATCATTAGAAAAAATCGTTGATGGTGATTTAAACTTTTGTAACTCTGTAGAAGCACATAGTTGTGAGCAATTGAAAAGGTTCTTGAAGTGACGTGGACTTTCGAAACAAGGAAAAAAAGTGTGGTGATTGAGAGGTTAGGTTTCAATACATTCAATAACAGTGTAAAAAAATTAATTAAAACAATTAATAATTATTCTAATTAATTATGCCAACCAACTATTAATAATTGCAAAAACACTTTAACATGAAAGTTAATCACGAGTATAATTAATAAAATAAATTATTTAAAATTTTAAGGATCAACATGTCATTTTTAATAATATTACTGTATATACCGAAGTAGTATTTAATATTAAAAAATATTGTGTAATACCAGACAAAGATTTTCTTCTGTTGAACCATTTTTTCCATGAAAAGGTAGTAAACAAATATAAGTATCTTTAGTAACATTATCCATCAATCGATCGAAAACCTTTGTCACTTCGACCACATTTTTTCACTCATACCTAATCATCATTTTGAATATATTTTAATATGTATTTTGCCTAATGATTTGATATTTTTTTAAGATACTGCAGGCAAGTTGTTTTATAAAATAATTTATACCCTGTGTCACTTTTACATACTCATAACAATACTGTTTAGTTTTTCCTTTCCGTAAAGATAATTAATTGATTGCAAAAATTGATTTTTCAATTAAGACACTTATTACTTTACTTTTTTTAATCCATTTTTTAAACGAATACACTTAAAATGAATATTTATCGATTATAATTTTTTTTACGTGGACATTTTAACATGCTTGTTTACGAAAAAATTACTGATACTGACGCATGCGCACAAAAAAAATTGTAATGAAAAGGCCTATTCATATATATTGATATATCTGGTTCAAAATTACTTTAGTGCCTTATTTTTTGTTGTCAAAATTGATTAATATAAATTTGATGGGTTATGATCTGGGATTTTTTAAGAAAATCAGAATATTTTAAGAAAACAAATGTCAGACAGAAATTAAATTTTAAGGGTTTGTCAGCTAGATTTGTAAAGAAAAGAAGGATTTTAGTATTAAAATTTATATTGGATTATTGAATTTAAATCTGTAGGAGAAAAGAAACAAGGTAAAATTTATTTCAATATGGAGAAAAAAAGACCAGATAGCAGAGTAAGGTTTGAACCAATTATAAGTTGGCATAGGAGAAAGAAGCCAAGGTATTAGAGACACGAGAAGGGCGGCAAAAAAATAAAATCTTAGAAGATATATAAATTTTATTTTAAATTAATATTTTTTGTAAAATTTGAGTATCAAAATTAAATGTGAGCCCATAAAATGTTGAGTGGCCATCCGTAAGTACACAGTATTCATACGCCAACCTCTGGCCGCTAGCCCCCGGATAATTCGCGCACGGATGATCAATTTAAAATGCCGCACGGTTACTGTACTTCCCCCAGCTCTGTCTTGGGTTAACAAAATGTTTTAAAAAGAGGTACTGGATATTGACTAATTTAAAACAAGTATTAACTTTTTTCTTGAAAAAATATTTAAAGGGCAAAACAACATAATAGAAGTACACAATACCGAATGGAGAATGAAATAAGCATCTCATCAGAATTTTGTTTTCTTTTGATGCTTCAAGTTTAGGTTCATATGATACCTATATCATATGCTGATCCAGTGTAGCACCCTCAAAATGTTTCTTGTTTGCGAACAGCCCACCAAAAAAATGTAACATTGTCACGTTGCCTAAGCCTTTTAGTAAATATAAGTGAAGTTGGGATAAGTAAATTTTACTTTTGCTATTTTTCTTAGTTCATCTGATGCGAAATTTTTCAAGCGTTAAAATATAAAGTCTTTTTTAGATATCGCTTTTTGGTTAAGAAGGGCAGTATAATGGACGGACTAAAAAAATTATCTAGTTCTCAGATTTCTTCATAACTTGAGAATCCTACTTCAAATGATAAAAATTACATGGCAAGGCACATAATCTCAAAATAATGTTAATACCTGGTGAAATATGTAAAATTTCCATAGTCACCCTTGATTTAAAAAGAAACAACAGCACACATGCGAAATTTGCACGAGTGCATAGCAATAGTTGGGCAATCGCAGAAGTACGTTAATAAAGCGTTATCACACGTACATTGTACAAATTTTTATCTACGCCTCTAAATGTAAAAATAAACTGTAATTATAATTTTTGACCAAGACTTAATTTAGGGTTATTATTCTCCACCACTGCCTACATGTCGATTGGTGACACATCGAAATGTTGGGTAACGATTCTAACAATTAGGCATTCCAAACAAATGAGTTACCAGTGGGCAGGTTTGGTATATCTAAGGGTGGCGACATATGGTGTATTCTATCTACTTTACGTAAAATCATGAATAATGGATTACATTTAAATATTTTATGTCAAACACAATAAAAATAATATTTAAAAAACTCACCTATACATTTCTTCATAAATTGGCAGGCTTGGCGACTACTACTTTGAATAAAAATAGCGTCCAAGTTGCAAGACTATGTCGCTACCCCCTTAGATATACAAGAATTTCCCACTGGCACCTATTGTTTGACAGGTCGTTGGAATGCCTAATTGAATAAAAACGTTTTGTTTTCTTAGCAACGATAATATTGTCAAACAAGTCAAAAATAATTAATTTTTAACGTATTTTTGCATTTTCTAATAATAAAATGAGTAATTCGTAAAGTTTGCCATATGATATTGAAGAACAAGCTTTAAATATAGTTGCTTGTTACTTTAGATTGTCACAGTAATTTGTTATTAAATTTAAATAAACTTTGGACTTTTTTATTTGATTGATTGAAAAGCAGTGAGATAAGAAAAACGTGTGCCTTAATAATCTTCTTATCTCACGCAAAATGAGTGGGATAAGAAGTTCTTATCTCATGGACGTAAATATTTTTACGAAATTGTCAAAAAAAAAACCTCAAACGAATGTCATATTTTAAATCTTATTATTTAATAATGATACAAAAATTCATAGCATTGAGTTAAATTAATCACATTTACAATTTGTGTTTTTAAACTGGACAGAAAAGAATTAAAAATATATATATATATATATATTGTATGCCACATGGAGTCAGCAAAGTTATTTAATTCATAAATTACTCAGCGTTACACCTGTGGCAGATAATGGTCAAGCAAGAGCATTTTAAATGACCGTTTTGGTTGTTTTTTGTGCATTTTTGCTGAAACTAAGCTTTATAAAGAGTTGACTTTTTAAAAACGTAAAAAAGTCGTAGTTTAGAAGCTTACAATAATAATTAATATTTCAGTATTTAGTCGTATATTGTTGTGATCTGCCTTGAACGTTTTATAAACTAAAATATACTTAAATGTGATATGTTTTAACACCTCCAGGGACTCAATTCTAGACTTTTATTCCCATGGGAAAATAAAATTTTTCCATGGGAATTCAGTTTTCGTATTCTCGACATAAGCGGTGGAATATTTTCCAATGAGAAGTATGGGAAAATATTCCCCTGATTACGAGCATTGGAAATTGTGTTTTCCAATGGGAATTGTACTAGAGTTTGCGCATTAAAGTCGAAAATTTGACGAAAGACTAACACAACCAAAGATTATTGAATCTTATTTTTGGTGAAATTGTAGTTAAAACATTTTTTTGGCGTATTTATAGATTTTTACTTGTTTATTCTTATTATTTAAGCTGATTGATATTATTTTATTTTCACTAAGAAACTGTATGAACTGATTTTCTTAAATCAGTTAGAAATTGTGGGAGCTGCTGAGGGACTGGCAAATAACACAAATTAAGAAATTTGTAGTAAATTTAATAATAAAGCAGACCCTTCCGAAAATTTTATTATTTCCGTTAACGAAAGAATTTCTTAGTTCTCGAAACTTTCGTTGCTCTTCCATACAAAAGCTAATTTTTCTTTTTTCAACATGTAAAAAGAAAAACTAAGAATAATTCAACAAGTTTTAATTATACATAATCGAATTTTTTCACTTGTTCCTCGTTCATGCTAGCAAATACCAATAATACCAACAGTAAATTTCAAAATATCTTTAATGTTATTGGTTGTTTCGAAATATTCCTGGACTTAATATCAGACATACGTGAAACTACTATTTCCACGGGAATGTCTATTCCGACAAGTTCGAGAATAGCATAACCTATTACCATGAAAATATAAGTAGTGGAATCTTTTTCCCATGGGAAAATTTTCCAATGAACTCGAGAATCGAGCCCCAGGTGTCACATCAAATAATGTCTATAAATTGTAACTAGTAAGAATGAAATTAAAATTTTATATAGAAATTTGTACAAAATAAATATTTTCAACAAAAAAATCTTTGGCTACAAAAAAAATTTTTTTGGTGATATAATGTAACTAGCTTTTGCTCGCGACTTTGCTCGTATGTAGTCGTGTTATTAATATAAAAAAATACATGACTCCCTTTTTTATTAATTTTTATTAGTTTTATTGATTTTCATTCATATTTATCCATTTTTATTAACTTTTTTACTTTTTATTAATTTTTTATCATTTTTATTAATTTTTATTAATTTAAATTAATTAATTTTTAATAATTTTTATTAAATTTGATTTATTTTTAATAATTTTTATTAAATTTGATTTATTTTTATTAATTTTTTATAATAATTTTTATTAATTTAAATAAATTTTTAATAATTTTTATTAATTTAAATAAATTTTTAATAATTTTTAATAATTTTTATTAAATTTTATTTATTTTTATTAATTTTTAATAATAATTTTTGGTAATTTTTAATCATTTTTAATAATTTTTATTAAATTTTATTAATTCTTAATAATTTATTAACTTTTAGTTTGTTTTTTTTAATTTTCACCCCGTATTCCCCTTTTAAAATGTGAAAATCCAAAAACCATGAAACACATCATTTTTGATTTTTAGTCAGTAGCTGTAATTCAAATTTTTATATTTCAAAGTTTAAGTAACAAAAAAATATACATACTATTAAACAAATTTTCACCCCCCATTTTCCCTCTTAAAATGTTGAAATTCAAAAATCCTGAAATACTTCGTTATTTATTTATGATGAGAAACTACAATTCCAATTTTCAAGTTCCTACCTTTAAAAAAATCGATATTTCTAAATAATCTTTCACCCCCTGTTTCCCCCCCTTAAAATGTGAAAATCCAAAAACCCTAAAACACGTCATTAATAATTTGTAGTCAGTAGCTGCAATCCAATTTTCATGTTTCTAACTTCATAGAGAACAAAAAAAAAATCGATAGTCCCATACACACTTTCACCCCCCGTTTTCCCCCCTTAAAATGTAAAAATCCAAAAACCCTGAAACACGTCATTATTTATTTATGCTTAGTAGCTGTAATTTCAATTTTCATGTTTCTAACTTTAAAGAACAAAGAGTTTCATTAAAAGCTCCCACTCCCATTTCCCCCCTTTAAAGTTAAAATTTTTAAAAATCCTTTCTTAGCGGATGCTTACGTTATAAAATAAACCTATGTTCCAAATTTCAGCTTTCTAGGCTTAGTAGTTTTGGCTGTACGCTGATAGGTCAGTCAGGACAAACAATTTTATATATATATATATAGTTATTTTGGTAACATAACATTTGATATTTGGTAACATAATTTAAAATCCCTTTTAACAATAAAAATTAAACCAAATGAAGAGAAGAAATTAAATGAACACTGATCTCAAATATGGTCACTTTCAACATAACATTTATCCACAATTTATATCTGTCTTAAAATTTGGAAACGAAAAATAATTATAGCAACGTAAATATAAAATATTCTTTACCTTTATTTGACACCTGCACAGCCTTCAATAATTGTTCACCAAGAATACTCGCGCGATAAGAAGTTCCCACGTTTACTTCAGATATTGGCTATAACTAAAAGCACACATAGTGGTCTCTACTCCTAAAGGCATGCCTGTACCTGAAGGTTAGGAAGGAACATTTATGAGTCGGCACAAATAAAACGTAATAGAGACTTGTCAGTTTTTCTAAAAGTGTGAGATTTAATTTCATATAGTTAACCTGGTGTTACTAGGTTAACCATATTGACTAGACACAAGGCTGCTACTATTTCCTCTCACTTTTACCCATTGTTTACTTGGTAGTCTTTTTGTCACAAATGTATTAGTGGTAACTCCAGCGACCAACAGACCTATGTTTTAGTAAGTATGAAGGTTAAGATTTTCTTAGAAAAAAACGTTTGGGTGTTAAGAACCTTAACTAGGTACCTAAAAATGATTGTCAAAAACTTTATAATATCAAAGCTGATTTTTTAATATGTTCAACTGTATAACATTATAATCTCCAATCAATGTGCTACACCTAACACTTTACGCGGACGGTACCGTCTACCAGACACTTTTAAGGTCACAAATTAATATTGGAATCTACGCCATAGTATGAAAGCTGAATTTTTTATGTTATTTGGACGGTTATTTAATAATAATATTTAAACGGCCTGATATGTCCAAAGGATCTAATATCTTCCCAGATATAGTAAAAGACAAGGTGCAAATCGATCAAAAGAGCATTACTCATGCACATGAGTTCTAGTAGATTATTATAGTTGAATTTATCAGTGAAGTCAATAAGAAATGAACATTTTTTGTTTATGGTAATGGATATTATATATAGTGTGTCAAAAAAGTGTGCACCTTATAGAAAACTTTTATTGTTCATTTATCAGAAAATTTTACGGTTTCGATTTTTTAAATATTCGATTTTGATTGATCGATTAATACCACCAACCATCTTATCTGCTAAAATTACACACATGAAAATTCCTACAGCCGTATGCATAGTCGATCGCCAGCGACTCGCCAGAGATTCATTTCGGCGTATCGCCAGCGATTCGCTGGCGATCCGCCGGCGAAAGCCCAAAAAGCCGGAGATTGTCACCGGAATGTCATTTCACGTAAGTTTTCATGTTCTTTTATAGGGAAAAATTTGATATCCGTTCATTATTTTTTGAGTTTTAAGACATGAATCATGAATAATATGCGAGAGATACCGGTGATAATCCCTATAAAAGAAAATAAAAACTTACGTGAAATGACATTCCGGTGACAATCTCCGGCGAGTCGTCACCTTTTTGGGCTATCGCTGGCGATACGCCGAAATGAATCTCTGGCAAGTCGCTGGCGATCGACTATGCATACGGCTGTAAGTCTTCATAATATAACATAGGTCTGGCGATCGCTGGTATTAGCCTATATAACAATGTACATTTTAAGGATTGTTTATCCCTCGATTTATCCAGAACAATATTTTTTTATTTATAGATTAAATTAATGACAATAAATATTTTTTCAATTAGCAACAGACTAAACAGCAGCAAACAGCTGCACAACAAGCGGCTGCGGCAGCAGCTGCACAACAACAAGCGGCTGCGTCAGCAGCTGCACAACAAGCGGCAGCTGCTACAGCAGCTGCAGCTCAACAAGCGACTGCAGCGGCGACTGCTGCAGCAGCAACTGCACAAGTAACGCAACAACCTGCTGCACTGGCTGATACAAATGGAACTGAAGAAATGGAAACAGATGATGTGAAGCCGAAGAAGCCTTTCTGGGCTAAAGGTGGGCTATACATTTTTTTACTCAAATAAGTCATTGAATGAGGCAAAATATTACATTAATAGACCTTTTCCATTATTAATAATCTCCATTACTCTATATTTCCTACCCTGAGTTTCAATCACACACCTGCAAATGTTATTTTGCTTTGCGTTTATATTATTGGTAGGAGCGCCAGTAGCACTTTTAGGTGTTATTTGTGAAAGGCAGAATTACAAATGTATCGTACATTCTTACCTTGTAGAAAATAAAATCGGTTTGCTGCAGTGCCTGCAGCTATGGAGCTCTCGACGAAGACGCATTAAAAAAGCCTGTGTAGAAGAGCAAGCTTGAAACTTTCTTGTGTAAATAGAACATTATTATAATAATTTTATTTTCCAAACTTGAAGACTTTCTACTGCTCCCAAGATGGCAGCAGATTTTTTTCTATTCTTATTTTCTATATTGGATTTTTGAAGAAGTCATTGAGCACTCCATAGCTGGTTCGTCTGCAGCAAAGTATTTCCATTTTTTACAACAACAAGGTAAAAATTAACGATAAATTTATAATAATTGAGCTCTGTGCAAATGTATCAAAAAAGTATCAATGGCTATATAGGACTCATTGATAGTTTAAATTAACGATGACTTGGGGGGTAATCGTCGTAGCAAACCCAACAATTGTAAGGCGAGGAAAGTAATTAATTTGTTAGGAAAATTACTAGATTCAATATTCTTCCGTTATTTTAGCATATAATTAATGCGAAATTGTTGAATAACGGGAATGGTTAATTATTATTAACAACAGTCTGAAAAGCAATAAGTCATATATTTTTTGCTAGTTTTTATTTCATAAAATTTGACTCCAAACTTGAAAGGGTCTTAAAAAGTCAATTTCTAATGATGACAAATCACTGCGCAAATCTGATAAGAAGACCCATTAAATTTTGTTTTCATTTTTACAGAGGGTTCTTATATGATTTAACCAATTCTGATACATATTTTTACCGTTAATGTACATACCCTCTTTTACTAAAATTAATATTGATTTCACTATTAGGACCACGTGTTCCAGGTGGAAAGGTTACTAAAAGAGAAAAAGTACGTAGACGCAATGTAAGATTAAGCAAAATGTTGCAACCGAAAAATGCGGTCATGATTTTAAATGAATTGGTGAAAAATACTTCTTATATGGTAGAGGAATTACCATTGAAACATGAAGGTAACCAGTTTAAAGCTACAGTGATGTATGAAGGAGTTGAACATGCTGGATATGGTGAGTTTTTTTTTTGTTCTGATACTTTATGTAAACTACCAGTCATTAAATTATACACATTTATTTATTTCATGTCTACTTACAAAAAACTAAGATTATTTGATAATGAAAAATAATTTGAACATTAATTGACACATTTTATTTGAATTGCACCTATCCTAATATTAAAGTGTATTTTTATATATATATATATTTAAAATAATTGGCGGCCCTTATTAGACCAAAAGGTTTGAAGTATGTCTGTCTACATTACCACTGACACTGAGTGTGTCTTCCTTTTTTTTTATTACAGCATTCTCCGAATCAGGGTATCTACCAAAGATTTACAATATTTTGGATGAATGCTGTCCCAAATTTTTTGTATTTTCTCTTTCAGTTCATCTATGCTATGGGCATGACTTGTACCCAGTCTTTATTTCATTTGTTACCATGGCCTCAATGGGAGATGAGTATGGTTTCCTTTGAACCAATGGGTTACAATGTTGGCGATATGGCATGCTGCACCATTCTGTTGGAAAAATAATTCCTCAATAATCCTTGGAATATAATTTATCGTCGTCAATAGCTCTTTTTCCTAAATTAATACATATTTTGCAGTATTGACGGTGCTATCAATAGAAACAAGTCTTTGCACATCATAAGCGAGGCTGGGAATTTAACTTTCCTTTTGAGGCACTTGGCACGTTTGTATACAACACGTTATTTAATATAGCTGTAAGTATAATGAAATTAGCCTTTCAGATGGCCATATTTGCGTCGGTTGGATTCTTCTAAGTGGTCTACGATATCTCAATATCCTCCCAAAGACTTAAACTTGTCAAATATCTTAAAACTTGTTTTTTATCTTCATATAATTTTATGTCTCTATTTAGTTCTCTAACTTTTATACCAAACTCTTCAATTCTACGTCTATTCTCTTCGCTAGACATCTTAATACTGACTATTTGGAGGATGGACTTACGTTAAACTGCCCAACCAACTTGGCTGCAGTATTAGTTAGTTCAGTTGAAGTACTTTGTGTTTGAAACGATACTTTCGATACTACCCCTTTTGGTAGAAACGTCAAGTCAAACGAAAACGTCAAATGTCAAACAAAACGTCGATTTTTCTCTTCAACTTTCATCTATACCACGTTCTCTACATAATGCCGTTTTTTCCCGTTTGAATCGGACCAATAGCAATAAAGATACACGCTAAGGCCCTTTTGGTTTTGTTCTGCACATGTTTTTTCTCTTCAACGTTAATCTATATCACGTTCTCTACATAATGCCGTTTTTCCCGTTTGAATCGGACCGGTAATAACCGAGAAACATGCTTAGGTCCTTTTGGCAATCGCATAATTTTTCTGTTCAACGTTAAAAGAGATTTAATTTCCCCCACTACCCCCACTCCCCCGCAGCCCCTCACTCTGTCTCACTCTTACCTACTGAATTTGTACCTCTCACTCTTACACATTGAATTCCCTATGTGAGCCCGTGTCTGCTTTGTCTATCTACTGATTTTCTATATAGTGTTGAAAATTATTTTCTTCCTTTTTTTCTTGATATAATGCAATTCCTGTTACGGTATCAGCCAAGGGAGTAGTTGTTTTCAGAAGAGAAATGGTCGCTGGACTTTGATGTGACAGACTTAGATATTCTCATTTAATATTAATAGTGCGATTTGAATGACATTTTATTTATAAATACTTCCAAGTTATATATTAATAAATAATCTCGTATGTTAAAATAATAGCAACGAAAAGTGGTTATAATAAATTGTTTGTTTGGTCCAATTCCTGTGCAATATTTATATATAATACATTCGTATTTCATTGAAGAACACTAATAAGTACTAGTGTTGAAACCATGGTTCAATATACGAAGAGTAACACTGATGTAATGAGATTCACAAAAACTATAGGGACTGCTCACATGACTTTCTTCATTGCACGTTGTCTTTTGAGCGTTTGTTGGAAGTAGGTCATCTTCAAAGATTCATACTCTACTTTCTTGACGTGTTGAAACGTCGAAAAAAGGGATAAGTTTCGTTGCCTCTCACAATTTTTGAAATAATTTGACGACCACCATTATTTAGCATTGGAAGAGTTTCCCTACTAATTCGTACACGCTCTGCATTTTGCCCCAAAGTTACATTATGGGACACCCATCAAGAAACAATTTTTCTGACGTGCAATTGTCTGTGTAGGATTTTATGAATGGCCACAGATCCTATACCTAGGGTTGTCTCTATAATTTGGTAAGTGTAGCGATTGTCTTCTAGAGATCAGTCTTCTGACAGCAGCCACGTTTTTTGGAGCTACCACTGTTCATGGTTCTCTTTCATGCTCTTCGTCCTTAAGGCTACTATGACCTCTCCGAAATTCCGCAAACTGTCTAAATGCCAACACAAGTCTTTTGACATTTTGTTGGGGCAGGCCAACTTTAAATCATAGATCTTAGCTTGGTTATGGTATCTCTGCAGTTCCATGTTTTGCACAATGCACTTAATTCTCAAAGTGTTAGTTTAGCTGAATCCATACCTTGTTTAACAATAAAACAAGGTGCTGCAAAAAATGTGAACTAGAAATTATTTAAAGCAAATACTTGTGAATCTCATTCATATCAGAGTGGCCCTCGTATTTATGGATCGCTTTATTGCAATTCCACATGGAGTCAGCAAGGTTATTTAATAAATAAATTACTCAGCGTTACACCTGTGGTAGATTAAAGTTAAGTGAGAGTACTTAAAATGACCGTTCTGATTATTTTTTGTTCATCCTTGCTAAAACTAAGCTTTAAAGAGAGTTGACTTTTCCAAAATATCTTAATGAAAAGTCGTAGTTTCAAAGCTTACATTTGAATACCAATATAATATGTTGGTATAATTGTGGATTCCAAAGTGATAATTATATAGATTTTGAACTTCTATTTCATTAAATAATTCCAAATATTTGTTAGGTCGTAGTAAGATCCAAGCCAAAAACACAGCTGCTGAAGCTGCACTCAAACATTATGTGAAAACTAACAAACTGACAGAAGTGAAAAAAGATGAAGACGGTAATGAAAAGATGGATGTAGCTGAAGATGATGCTAACCAGTCTCCTTTGCCATGGCAACATGTAGCCTCATTCGCTTTGTACAAACTTTTCTCTTCATGGGGAGAAGATCCGAATCTTGTTAAGGTTAGATATTGATTTTTCTGTTTTTACAGCTTCTAATATTTTGTTTTCATTCATATTAATTTGTGTTTTGTTTCAGAACCAAACCCAAAATCTTTCCACTAGTGAAAAAATGCATGATAACAAACCAGCCAAAAAGATGCCCGACAATGCTGGAAGTATCAACCCCTTAATGCTTATCAACCAAATGTTGCCGCAAGCGCAGTTTGAGGAAATCGGCAAGACTGGTAACCCACCAAATGTGGTCTTCTCCTTCAAATGTATTGTTGATGAACATGTGTTTATTGGAACTGGTAAGTTTATTAGATAATTTTTATAATGACTGCCTATTTCTAAGTACGAGGTTCAATGATCAGCGCTGGTGAGCACACTACACCCTAACTAGAAATTTTGTGGAACTATCTGAAATTTTCTGGGATCATTAGCGAGTCACAACGTATGGTTTCAATACTTTTGCAAATGAAAAATGCATATCTTCACTGTATCTTGTGGAAATTGATAGAGAGAGTTAGTCTTACATCTTTGTTTTTAATTGATTGTTTCAATACCCCGTAGTTTTACATCTCCTTTTAAAAAATGCATACCTTTAAATGTATTTTGTGATAATTGATAAAGAGTTATTGGAATGAACTTGAACCATCCCCTATCATTACCATCTTTCAAATTTGAAACAATTTGTCATCCTCATTTTGGCAATAATGTTCAAAACACTGTAAAATGAGTGGTGCATCATCTAAAGTAAACATAATAAATATATATGATATTAAGAGCAGATCTTTTCACCTCGTTACTGTGAGTAAAGTTACATGTAGTGAACAATAGCCCTATAGTTACTTTCAACTTTACTCAGAGGTGAAAAAATTTGCCCTAAATGGATTAGAAGTACACAGGACAGGGTGTCATTGAAATTATGCATTTTTTTACAAACATTTTCTTGGTTCTGAATCAGTTATGTTGAAAGACTTACTCGTTTTGCAGTTTTCTCACACATGAGTAATTAATAGGGCTGCGAATTTGCGGAAGTCTTGTTCCCCCTCTTTATCTAATTAGTAGTTATTAATTAATTCAGAATTTTTTTATTATTTACTCTTTTTACTATAAATCTTAATGAAAAATATTTTTTTAGGACCAAACAAGAAGGCAGCGAAGAAAATGGCTGCTTTTGGAGCGTGCAATAAAGTTTTGGATGTTAAATATCCACCAGAAGTATATTCTGCTATATATTAATTTCCAAATTTATTTTCCCAAGGAAAATATCACAAAAGTATTTTATTTATTGATAAATCTTTTTTTTATTATTTGATTCACTCAGGAGCAGTGAAATGTTTTATAATTAATTATTGTGAAGGAATTTATTTGCAGTAGTGATTTTTTAACGTAGTGTTCTTTTTTTGTATTAAAATTACAATTATTAAAATGAAAATAAATGTAATGAGTATATTGTATTGTTTTAATAATTTACTGTGTTATATGATAAAAATCAAGCAATTTGAGATTGTGATGGAATTTATTTGCAAGTCAGAAAATCTCAAATATGAATATTAGAAGAGATATTTCAAATTTCTATAACGTCAGCCACTAATAGTACGTCATTAGAGGCAAATAAATTCTATGCTAAAATAAGGCTTATTGCAAACCTGAAGTTTTGACATTGTCTACAGATTCCTAACCTAATTTTAAAAACTTTCTAATTTCGACACAGTGTCATTTTTGTAATCGCAGCAAGTCTACTTGCATAAGATTGAGATTATGAAACTGCTTACAAAAAATTAATTGTCAACAGTTCCGAAAGAAAAAACGAGCAAAAGTAAACCTTTGGTTTTAAAATCGATATTATTGAAAGTTTATATCAAAGAAAGTGGTTGCAGGACAACAATATTTCCGTCCTTGACTGGCCCTGATCTAAATATAATCGAAACTGTATGGCAACAAGATGAAGCAGCAATTAAGAAATGATCCACAGCGCAACATTTCTGATTTGCGAGTAAAATTGCAAAATATATGGGATTCTTTTACCGCGGAAGATTGAGAAAAGCTTGTTAAAACTATGCCTGATAGAATAAATGTTGTTATTAAGGCAAAGGGAGATGCAACCAGCTATTGATGTGATTTGTCCAAACATTTGTGTGTCAATAAATATACGTTATTATCAACATTAGCTTAGTTTTATTGATCAATATCAGTTTATTTGAAAACAATATCAATGTCTTATAAATGAAAAACATATTGAATCCCTTAAGGAAATTTTTACGAAAAATCAGTTGATGTTCGAACATTTTTGTGTTAGGGCTCGTATTTGGGTTTCGTATTTGGGTTTCGTATTGCTCCACCGTGGTTGCCGTTTGAAAATATATTTTGTATATTCTTCCTGTGTTTCTTTTAACTATATCCCCTTTTTATCTAGCTCATCCAGAATCACCTTTATGGTAAAAGACAAAGATAATTACACCGTTTAGGCTGAGTGAGGTGGATATTATTTTTTTTTCAGGTACTACCCCATATGTAAGCCACCGCCTGGAATGTATTTACTTCACTGGGGCTACTTTGAGTGCGCACTCGAGGAGTGCAGAGCAAACTGCGTTATTAACACTGGCACCCGGGCAACCCTTGTTCTAGATAACAGCCTGGCGCCATCCACGATGACTTCCACGCAAGTGAGACAAGACGTGAAAACTAATAAACTTTATTTTTATTAATATCGTTTTTTTTTTTTTTGACATATTGTATTGGTGTGGTACACAATACTAAATAAATAGAATCAAAATTTCTAATATAACATATGTCTCTAATTCACATACTAATGACTTTGGACTATTAAGTATTGCATTGTGACTTGGCAAACCGGGCCCTAACCTAGTTTTCCAAATACCCTTAACTTTGGCCAATATTTCATCTAGTAGATCCCACGAAGTGATGTTAAAAAGACCCCAGAATTACGTTTAGAGTTCAATGTAGCTGTAATGGAGGAAGAAAGAAGTAAACAGAGATTAAGTTTGAATACTGCTTATTTAACATCTATTCTTTTGTACAGCCGGACATTTAGATTATGTGCTGTTATTAGGCTTAACATTATTTTTATGTAGTCATTTCTAACCTCAGAGCTATTAGTTTCCATGAAAGGGTAAAATAAAAGTGGGAAGTACTTTGGTATATTTGTTTGTCTCCTAATATACAATCACACCTTTCCACGGAAATACTGAATTATGCATCTGACAAAAGAGAGTACATCGGTAGCACGCAGAGTTCCGCGAGGTATAGAATAATACAAACATATTTTTTAAACGTTATCTAACTATAAAATATACACAATCAAGGTATTTGCCCTATTAGTCTACATCTGTTTACCATTTAAAAGTAAAACCGAAAGTGCATTTCCTCTTTACTGAAAGGGGCAGGTACTGTTTACAGACAAACAAAACTTTACCATTCGGCCCTTTGGCCATAAATCTAAATGAATTTATTACTTGAGAGTGCGTTGACCGACTTTACAACAATGTTTATGACAACAACATCAATGAATTGCAAAAATATGAAAATAACACAGACGCAAATTTTTCTGCTAACGAATATAAAAGTAATAAAGTGATACCTGTAACCCATCAATGTAGTCTAAACTCTCCCCCGGAGTATATGAATATTAAATGCTAGTTTGATTACTTTAATAGTGCGATTATCATTTTAATCCTACGTAAAAGAAACCTTACAGAAAAACAAGAATACCGCTAACAAAAGCGACTATCCGGCGCGCGTTCGTCGGATCAACCTTAGGGGTGACGAAATCCACTACGAAAGTCGCCTAGAATAGTAACACTTTATAATGTTGAATCGGAGATATAAAGTATCTGGCGGTTAACTATACTAGCGTGGTCTCACCAGTATCCTAAGGACAACCGGATATCTATGCAGAAGCCGTCGTTTATAGAAACTAATTTCTCTACTCCGTCGATATCTTTTATTTCCGTTCTCAAAATATAACAAAAGCGCGGCCACCGTAAGGGTAGCGATATCTCTTTTTAATTATATTTGAAGAATATAAAGAAAAAGGAGTCACCGTAGCGGTTTGCGTTTTTTGTTACCTTGACTCGGTGAAGATGAAAAGGCTAATCCCCCAGCCCACAAAAATCGTGGTATTTATACCTAAATTTCCTATATATGCAAATGTGTCGGAAAGAGAACGACTGCGAATCCGGTGCATAAAGACTTTAAAGACCTGTATTAATTTCTGAATATAGCCCTATAGTTTTACATCTGGTTTTTTCTAGCGGCCGTTACAGTTTACACGTCGATTTCTTTCCCCAGAAGTAATTAAACGGCACCTACGAGTCGGGAGATGCTGGGATGTTGTTTGAAATCGAAATAAAAATTTTAATATGTAATATATAAGAATTATTTAAATTAATTATCAACCCCCGGTTGTCGGATTTCAGCATACATTTTTGTAATCGTATATTATTAGTGAATTTGAAAATGAAAAGAAAAATTATTTAAAAAAATCGATGACGTCTTGTACCAGTTGTTCCATTAAGAGTGGTAGCCAGCTGTATTTCAGAAACTAATAATTGTGTACAGCTTTGGGGAAAAATATTTTCAATAAAAACGGTCAAGACTAATTGGAAATTATTTTCAAATTTGTAGGATGGCCACTAAGGGTCGTAATTGTAAAGTCAAAACATAAAAATGTAATTTTCTCAAAAAATACCAAGTAAAGTATATTGATAAATATTACTATTTTAATCTTCAATATTTTCTAAACAAAAAAGCTTGAGGTGCAATTTTTGTCAGTTATGAAATAGAGTAGTGGGGGATATGGTTAAACTTTAATTTGGAAAAATGCTCATAATGCCGGTTTGGCTTTAGCGAATTTTGTGAACTTTTAAAAGAGCCTTTTCAGCCTCATTTTTAGCTGTATAAACTGTGGCTGCTTACGTTTTACGAACGCCACTAGAGGGAGTTAAGTTAAAAACATATATTTTACGAAAATAATTTTATATCACTTAAATGAAGCTATTTAAAAAAAAATGCCATTTATTCTCACCAAAACCGACTAGCTCCACTATCTCGAGTTTGACATATGACGTAAAAATGTAACGTAAAGATGCAGACATTTTAGCATCGTCTTTATTTAATCTCAATTGTGTTTGGAAACGATATATTAAAGTGATGTAATCGGTATCCAGCATCGCATCTTTAATTCATTGGAATAAAACGCAGCCTTTTTATGTCTTATTTGTATTTATTTCATCTCTTTTTTTCTATATTACAATCTTAACAAAACTGTAGTTCAGACTGATACATCTTTTCTACTACTTCACTTATTTCTACTTCTTTGGTCACTCCAAGTAGAACCAGGTTCAGGATTTCATCCGACAAGCTAAAAAAAATATATAATATTTATGGTTTCAAATAAAATATTTTCTAACAAATCTTGAAACAACTGTAGCAAAATAAAAAACGTATTCTCTGAGACGCTTGATTGTTGAGCTATTTTTCTATTCAATCGAATACATGAACCTTTAATAGTTTCCATCTGCTTACCCTAAAGGTGTCCATGTTGATTTTGGTTAATTATAACGGAAGTATACAATAATATCAATTAAAAACCGAATGAAAGAATTCGAAAAATTTTTGCTTATACTTGGAGTAGTTAAAGTGACTTTATTCTGAATAACATAATAGCGGAACTCAACAGAGCAATGAATAGGCTTATAAATTAGAGAAGGCTCAATTGTGGTCATATCATACCTGAACTCCTTTACAGGTTTCATCAGCAATGAAAGAAGAATCAAACTGAGGCGCTGCAGAAAGTATCAAACAATGAGAAGGATTAAGAATTGAGATATTTATTTTTAATTAAATCATTGACGAAGTCAACGATAGACCTAGGGCCGAAAACATGCTATACAATATTTTAAATTAAATTTAGGTTCTTTTTAGAAAACTCCTAATGTCAAGTATTTTTTCACACAATATAGAAGTTTAAAATCTAATGGAGTCAAATATAAGCTGTCTTGGAACTTGGAACCGGATACATAGCAGGAATGACAGGACTACTTAAGTTGCACCTCAGTGGGAGGCAATTTTAGATCAAGATGGGACTCGCCCTATCTAGGCCATCAATTCCGGAAACGGATACCTCAAGGATCGGTACTATCACTACTCATGTATACCATATACCCAGCGGGTATACTCAAGATGGAATACACTGCCATGAATGGTATCCAAGTACCTTCAAGAAGCAGCAACAGATATGGTGTACCAAGTGAAAGATCAAAATCAACGCTGAGAAAAGTCAACCTGAGTTGTTCAAGAAGAGAATGCACCAACCAAGCGATAAAATCGAAATGCCTGGTCGTAACGTCCCGTGGACCTAATCTACTGTCATGAAATTCCGAAAGCCTACCCTGTGTACGCGCGACCTTCAGATGGCAACCGACTCGTGCTCTAGACGACGGAACGTTCGGGAATGCCGCTGACGCACTAGAAACGGCTAGAACGGGCGGAGAGTGCCGTTTAGTCATAGAGATGGAATTTTCGGGAGCCTCTGGAAACTAATGAGCACAAAATTGGCTTGGTATAAATAGCCGGCTCATCGGCGCACAGTTCAGTTTAGAATATTGGAATGAGAAGTTAAATTGTAATAAATAAATTAGAATTGTTAGTGTCTAAGTATTATTTAAATTAAATAGTACGTCTGAAATAAATTGTAAATAGTGTGTTTTAAATAAATAAACTATAAATAAATTAGACTATCGTTACACTATTAAATACAATGGAGTAAATAGCCAAAAAATAACATTCACCAATCATGTGGACATGGTGATGGGCAAGACAACAGGATGAACTGCTGCTTGATAAGTTAAGATTTATTCAGGCAGTAATACTGTCAATCCTGATGTATGTCTCCAAGGCCTGGAAGTATACGTGCAAAACAAACAGGAAGAAGATACAAAGTCAACAGAACATCTGCTTATTACAACAGGCTGTAAACTCTTACCGATACACCCGTAACGACACTATATTTAGCGATCTGGAATCCACCAGTGTTCTAGACCTAATTCACACTAAAGCCACACTTTTGAGAATCTAAGACTTTATCCTGAGAAATTACTATAAATAAGACATTCTCATTCAGAAAACTCATAAAAGCGAAACAGGCCAGGACTCTATAACAAGCAAGGACTGTATAATAGGCGTCTACCCGCCTGGTCGTAGAAGAAGGTTCCCGTAGTTGCAAAATTAAGAGCTTTCACAGGACCGTGGTCATTACAGAATGCGCACGCACAAGACACAAACAAACTATGTAACGGGGGTAAGCCTTCAACAATGTCCTGTTTAAATGACGATAGTATATCATACTTCATGCCCTTTTAAAAGGCAAGGTATACAAATCAATTGCTCTTGATCTTGAGTACCCTGCAGATAAGTCAGCAAAAGGGTGGACAAATGGGTCTAGCAGGTTTTGATCTAGTAACAGGACGGGAACTTACTCGACTCTGGCCTTACATAATCTGTGTGCGTGGATTATTGACAACTGTACATTCGACAACGTGTCCATGAGTTGGACACGTTGAACACGTTGGTAATAATATACGTTATTGACCAAATTTTAAGATTAGGATATTTGTTTATTTACAAGCTCACTTTCGTTTTGCGCATTTCTTGCCAATTCATTCCAATTCAGACCCAGGAACTGATCTGACGGTAATAGAACTTTGTAGTTAGTGTTCTACTTGTGTTGGAATACTCGATTTTAGTACAGTTTTGATTCCAAGTTTGTTGGAACACCAATTCTAGACTGCGCAAAATTCAGACACTACATGAACCGATTTTGTTTTATTTTGGAATAAACCTTCATCGAAAAAAATACGTTTGGCGCAACCAACCTTTAAAATAAATGGGAGAGTACTTACTTAGCCATCATCACCCAAGGCAAAATCTTCGTAGTCCTCTTGTACATGGGATTTTTATTACAATGCTTCCCAAAATCAATTTTATACTGAATAATATTTACAGCATAATCTTTGGGCAGCATCTGCAAATATTTGGAAGACTTTGATGATTTTTTCACGCTGAATGATGTAGATGGTCTATGCGTGTTTTTGTTTTCTTTCTCGGTGACCGGTTGGTGGCAGGAAGATGCGCTTTTCACAGCAACTGTTTTTGCTTTTCTCGTTCCGACATCTTCTTTTATGAAGTCGTTTTCGCTTTCTGTGGCAGTGTCGTTGTCTTGATTACAGATTAACTTCGAATTTTTGGGGTCTGAGACGGTCACAGTTGGTCTATAACAAATCATAAAATTAAAATTCTAAATTATTTTAGATTATTCTATTTATACCGTGTTTTCGAAAAGTAGTGATTGCCAAAATATAAATGTTTAATAAGGAAATACCCGAAACAGGTCGATTTTTAATTTAAATTTGCCAAAAAGTTTTATACAAATGGGATACAGTTTTATACAAATGAGATAGTTTCTTACATTTCACAAAAAAATATTATTCTGAATGAAAAGTCCTGCATCACTTTAGAATTCATATTCATGTATTAAATTTCATAAAATATAGGAAAAATAAAAATAAAGATTTATGATAAGGAGAATTACTTACTTTTAAATCACAATACATTAGGGCTGTGAACTTGACACCACAACATTGCAAAAAAGGGTCAAAAATATGTGGAAGGTTTGTCCATCGTTTGCCCATTATTGCCCATGATATAACTTTGTTTGCCCACCCTCTGTTTTCACAATATATCGAAAATAATTTTCGCGGGCCAACTTCCAGGACAAAAGTTAAAATTTTCATAATTTAATTTAATTAAATTAAAAAAATGTTTTCTGAGGATTGCCCATTTTTTAAAAAAATCCTCGTCCAATAGGGGGTCATAAATTCCGATAATAGTGCATTTATGTGTGTTTATCTGATATGAAAAAATGGACACACATCGAAATGATTCCAAAATAATTGTAAATTGCTAAGAAATGTATTCTGACGATTGCCTATTTTTTTTAAAAAATCCTCGTCCAATAGGGGGGCTTAATCTCCGATAATAGTGCATTTATGTGTTTTCAGTTGATATAAAAAAATGGGCAAACATCGAAATGATTCCAAAATAATTGAAAGTTGCTAAGAAATGTATTGCCCATTTTTTAACAAAAATTCTCGTCCAATAGGGGGCTTAATCTCCGATAATAGTGCATTTCTGTATTTTTACTTAATATAAAAAAATGAACAAACATCGAAATGATTCCAAAATAAGTTACTAAGAGAGGTATTCTGAGGATTGCCCATTTTTAAAAAAAATCCTCGTCCAATAAGGGGGCATAAACTCCGATAATAGTGCATTTATGTGTGTTTATTTGATATAAAAAAAATGAACAAACACCAAAATGTTTCCAAAATAAGTGTAAGTTACTAAGAGATGTATTCTGAGGATTGCCCATTTTCTAAAAAAAATCCTCATCCAATAGGGGGGCTTAATCTCTGATAATAGGGCATTTCTCTTTTTATTTGATATAAAAAAATGGGCAAACATCCAAATGATACCGGAGTTTAAGCCCCCTATTGCACTTGGATTTTTTTTTAAAAATGAGCATTCCTCAGAATACATTTCTTAGCAACTTTCAATTATTTTGGAATTATTTCGATGTTTGCCTATTTTTTTATATCAACTAAAAACGGAGAAATGAACTACTATCGGAAATTAAGCCCCCTATATTGGACGAGGATTTTTTTAAATGGGTAATCCTCAGAATACCTTTCTTAGTAACTTTCATTTACTTTAGAATAATTTTAATGTTTGCTCATTTTTATATCAAACACATATAAATCCACTATTATTGAAGTTTAAGCCCCCCTATTGGACTTGGATTTTTTTTAAAATGGGCAATCCTCAAAATACATTTCTTAGGAATTTACAATTATTTTGGAATCATTTCGATGTTTGACCATTTATACATAGCAGATAAACACACATAAATGCACTTTTATCGGAGTTTATGCCCCCCTATTAGACGAGGATTTTTTTTAAATGGGCAATCCTCAAGAATATCTTTCTTAGTAACTAACACTTATTTTGAAATCATTTCTATGTTTGTCTATTTTTTTATATTAAATAAAAACAGAAATGCACTATTATCGGAGATTAAGCCCCCCTATTGGAAGAGGATTTTTTTAAAAAAAAGGGCAATCCTCAGAGTACATTTCTTAGCAACTTTCAATTATTTTGGAATTATTTCGATGTTTGTCCATTTTTTTATATCAACTGAGAACACAGAAATGCACTACTATCGGAGATTAAGCCCCCCTATTGGACGAGGATTTTTTTAAAAAATGGGCAATCCTCAGAATATATTTCTTAGCAACTTACACTTTTTTTGGAATTATTTTGATGTTTGCCCATTTTTATATCACTAATAAACACATATAAATGCGCTATTATCTGAGTTTAAGCCCCACTATTGGACGAGCATTTAAAAAAAAATGGCCAATCCTCAGAAAACATTTTTTATAACAAATAAACTCGTATAAATCGATAGTGGAATTGTCATCAAATCCCTTTTTTAATTAAATTTTTTTTGAAGGTCGTTATTTTTTTTTTCTCTATTTTTTTTTTTTTGAAAAACTAATTCATGGGCAAACGTGGGCAAACGAAATGCTATTATGCCGTGAAATTAAATTATGAAAATTGTAACTTTTGCCTGAAAGTTGGCCCGCGAAAATTATTTTCGATATATTGTGAAATAAGAGGGTGGGCAAAAAAATTTATTTCATGGGCAATAATGGGCAAACAATGGGCAAACCTCTCACACATTTTTGAGCCTTTTTTGCAATGTTGTGGTGCCAAGTTCACAGACCTCAATATATTAAATAAAATGTTGATAGGAATTAAAAATATGCTCAAATTTAAATCATTGCACTTATTTTTAAGTAATTTCGATTTACTTTAATCAATGAATGATACAAAACCAATGATAAACTAATTTATTTTTAATTTCACAAATTTTATGATTGGTTATGGATTTCCAACTTCCAAGTGATGCAGAACATTTTATCAAGATATTTTTTCTGCGAAATATAAGATAAACCTTTTCCTTTTTATATAAAACTGTTTTGTACATATAAGATGATGAACATGTGAGTAATGACGTCAGAGACATTTTTTTTTTAATAATACACACTATATTTTTAAATTTAAATTGCCATGAAAGCTGAATTCCAAAAGTCCTCGTATATCACAAAAATACTACGTGCTTTCGTAAAGTAGTGGATTAAATCGTTAAAAATTTTTAAATATCAAAATACTAAATTTAATGCCAAAACTATTATTTTTTTCTGGTTTTGTAAGTATTTTATATTCTGTATATCCTGTATGATATTTATCCAGAATAAGAGTATATTCTGTAATAGAGTGTTGTATCTGTTATAGAACTTGATAAATAAAATAAAATAGAATAAACAGAAATAAAATAGAATAATATGGATGGACATTTTTATTTACTAGTATAAGTATTAAAGATATTGTATTTTCATGGTAAATTAAAATTAGTACTACTACATGTCTCTAAGTTGTTTTGATGAAGGATTTAATTATTTAAAATTTTAGTATTTTTTTATATTCCGAGAAAGTATATTTTTCACACAAATTTTTAGTTGTGTAAATGATTCATCTTCAGTGTGGTCCATAAGTAAAGGACATTTTCTACGTGATTTACAATTGATGAAAAAATTACTGAAACACGTCAATTTTTAGTTCTAAAATTACATTTTTTAAGCATAATTTTATACCTCCCCTTTGACCCCCTTGGAGTGACAACAAGCCCTTTAAAAAATTTAAATGGAATAAAGATGATAGCTCATTTGAAAGGGTTTTTGAATTTATCTATATTTTTTATTGAAAAATTAACATTTTTAATGTCACTAACAAAAGAACATGAAACATTTTAAATCAAATGTTCAAACTGGGCGCTCGTTGCTTCTTGACAATAATGGAGGAGTTACTGAAATTTTTTTAAAACATTTTGTATCGTTTCTGTGGCGATCTGATTAATGTCTTGTCTTTTTCATTTTTTTAAATCATCGACGTTATTCGGTATTTTGTTGTAAACTTTAGATTTTAAATAACTCCATAAAAAATAGTCAATCTAGAGAACGGACAGGCCACTCAATTTCACTCACAGACTCTGTCATGAAATACCGCCGAACGAAATAGCGCGTTTCAAAATAGTTCTATTGTTTTTACATAAATTGATTAAAAAAAAAACTGTAGTCACCGTGGGTTGCTTTGCAAAAAAAATATTCTTAAAATAAGAACAATAAAGAAAACTTAAATTAATTTACCTGTAGCCATTTAAAATTAAACGATCGGTCACGCACAGGTTAGGTAAATTAGAAAAGTTTTTTTTTCATTTTTTCGTTCTTTGTTTAATTTTTTTGCGAATAAACTCGCGATGGCTCCAGGCCGCACAGGTTAAGTAAATTAATTTAGTTTTTTTCATTTTATGTTAATTTTTTGGCCCTTTTTGCTGTTTTAATATGAGCTATTTTGTTTGGGCGCTGTTTTGTTGACGCTCTTCTGATACGTTCTTTTGGTACGGGCTATTTCGTGACAGAGCCGTTTAAAATATGTAAACGTTACATTGGTGTCAGAAGTGGGATACTGTAAATAGTGAGTAAAAACGGTTTAAAAATGGTGTGACTTAAAAGTGACCGAGTAACGTTGGGAACTAGAGGACCAAGAACTGGAGACGACAATAATGAAACCAGAGTTGGTAGAGCGACTTTAAAAAAGCAATAGAAATGATGGTTTGGATCCGAAAACGTTTCTATTTTTGGACGATATGACTTATGTTATATTTTTTCAGTTTCTTATTAAAAAAGGTACCTTTTGAAATGTTCTATAAAAAATAAAGTTTCTTCAATGGAGGTGAAAATAAAAAAGCTGGAAAAGAAAATAGAGGAAATGGAGAAAACAGAAAGGAAAGTTGTAACAAATACAAAGGAGTCCAAGAACGATGAAATAAAGTGCCATAAGGTGAAGTCAACGAGAAATTGGAAGGAATTGTAAGTTCCAACTTTGGACGGGAAGATATATCGTGGACCAGTTACCTGCTCCAGCAAACGAATGGTCTGAAAGAAAAAGTCAGTAAATCTGAACATCGCACTTCGAGGAAATGCTTTAGATGTTCTACAGACTATACCTGTGAAAGAGAACAACTTAAAAAGAGATACAGTATACCTACTCCAGGTGTATACGGTTGAATAATCGCAAACAAAAACGAGACGAAAGACTCTAAGAATACGAATTAGATATTGCCAAGATGGAGCGATTTGATCCAGAATATATGATTGAATGTTTGGGTGACTAAGCATTCGTTGATGAGCTCCGTGATCATGAAATGCAAATAACACTCTATTTAGCCCGTCTCAAAATATTGGTCGATGTCTTGCTCTTGAATTTGAAATGGCTACGGTGGCTTCTGGTGGAAACAGTGAAGTAAAGGCTTTAAAAGAGGATGAAAAGGAAAATAAATTCGACCAATTGTTTAACATGATAAAAGGCCTTATTGATAAGCAGACGAAGACTATTATCAGGTGCTGGAATTGTGGTGAATTAGGAAATGTACGCAGTTGGCGTAAACGCCCTAGGATCATTTCAAATCGAAGAACCGTGCCGGCAGCTGTAGAGAAAGGTACAATGGTACCTGGTAGAAGTGAAAGCATTAAGGGCCCCACTCACCTCGTTCTTCTTCGCCGTTTTTAACCGACGGTTAAAAACGTTGGAAGGAAGAACGTTGACTGATATGTCCATACACAACAGTTTTTTTCGCGCTAGTTTATCACGATGGACCGTACGTACTTGTTAGCAGTGGCAGCGGTTTTGGCAGTGGAAAAAAATCGCGAAAAAAGAAAATCTCGAAGAAAATGGAGTAAAGACTGGCTACTTAAACGCTGTACTTTGTCACATACAAATTTACTGAAGGAAAGATTGGAGCCTGGTGATTGGTACAATTACTTGAGGATGGACGAGGATAAGTATCGGAAACTGTTAAAACTAGTAACACCGTTAATTAAGAAAAATAATACCCATTCACGTGAATGCATCAGTCCTCACGAACGCCTAACAGCTACTCTGCGGTTTCTGGCCACTGGCGGCAGCTACGAAGATATGAGGTTTTCTGTTATTATTTCACCGCAGGCACTAGGACGCATAATACCCGAAACTTGCCAAGCTCAATAAACTCTATCAAAAGTCTTTGTTCCACTGCCTAATATCAGACACTTTTATTATAACCAGTTGTAAATAATAATAAACAACAAAAACATGCTGAACGTCGCTGCTACTGATAAATCCTCGACCATTCAAACTGTTGAGAACACACACCTCGTGTTTACTCGAACGGTTGGTACGATAACCGACAAAAATCAAGCCTCGCCTGAAATTTTGGAACGACGTTCATAAACGACGTTCTTGCCCATACACCTCATTTTTGTAACATTTTTACCCTGAAGTTTTTAACCGTCTGTTAAAAACGGCGGAGAAGAACGAGGTGAGTGGGGCCCTTTAGAGTAGCGAGGCTGAAAGGACCTGTGAAAGAAGAAACGCCTATCATTTTGGAACTTTAAAAGTGCAATGAAGGAGATGGTTGAGAAATTCTGATTAAAAAGGGGTTGGTCACGTCTGCTAAAGAAGTTGGACTATGAAGAACAGCGGTAGTCAACGATGAGTGGGCACTACTAAAATTAGAGAAGACCAAGAGAAAGATCATGTTAAGAAAATGCGACAATGGGAAGGGGAAAATTGTCGACCTACTTGGCAAAACTATCTCACCGTTCCATACACACCGCAACAAAATGGTGTCTCTGAACGGATGAACAGAAGTATAATGGAAAAAGTCAGATCTCTGATGAACAAGTGTTCGTGCGACTTACGTTTTTGGGCTGAAGCAGCTAATACAGCCGTTTGCTTATTAAACAGATCCCCTACGAGGATACTACCTGGAGTAACACCTCAAGAAAAGTGGACTGACAAAAAAGGTAAACCTTAATCATCTTAGATTTGGATGTAAGGCTTATGCTCGAATCCCAGACGAAAACGGTACAAGTTAGAACCAAAAAGTATTTGTATTTGTAGGATATTCAGAAAAGTCTAAAGCGTATAGACTCTTTGATCCTAAAACTAAAGGCGTGTCCAGGGCCCGAGATGTTATATTTTTTGAAAATGAATACGAAGATATTGTAAATACTGTACATAATGTAAATAATAATAATGTAGTGGACCAAATACTACTAAAAGATATTTTTCGAATCAATTCACAAACAGAAAGTGAAAAGACCTATCGTGCTCAAATGAAGAGTCACTAGTCGAAGAAGACAACGACAAAACATTCTAAAAGAAAGTACCTCGACAAATCAAATTAATTCAAATACCACTGAATCCAGGTACTTATTACTAAATCGAAAACCCCCGAACTACTCAGGTCTCTATACTCATCAAGCAGTCATTGATCATATTGAAGAACCACAAAGCGTTAATGAAGCACTTTTTGGCGATTACACAGCAGAGTGGATGGCTGCGACGCAGAGTGAAATCAATTCGATGAACGAAAATAAAACCTGAAAGCTTGTAAATAAGCCAAAAGAATGCAAGTCAGTGTTTAAGTCAAAATGGACATTCAAACTAAAAAGAGATGCCAATGGAAACGTTACTCGATTCAAGGCTAGACTCGTGGCAAAAGGTTCTACCCAAAAATATGTAATTGACTATTCCGAAACCCTTTCACCAGTAATTTGACATTCCTCCATCCGACTTCTGTTTTCGCTCGCAGTACAATACGATTTAAGTATCAAACACTTAGATATCGTTACCACTTTCCTCTATGGGAAACTGGAAGAGGATATTTATATGTCTCAACCAGAAGGTTTCATCGTTGAGGGGGAGGAAAACAAGGTGTGCCATCTTCAAAAGAAGAGCCCATTTCTTGATGGAACTCAGACATCGCTTAATTTGGATGGTTTTCCTATAAAAGAGTACCAATGACATTGTATCCATTTAAGCAGTTTTTTGTTTTAGAGTTGAATATAAAACACATGACTATTTTTTAGAAACTGGAACAAAATAAAATATAAACATAACCTCAAAAATAATAGTAATGTTTTACCTGGAGCTTGGAGACGTGTTTCGTTATCAATCATTGAATTGACACACATACTCCCGATTGATTAAATTCACGTTTTATTTAAACACGGTTTTTTAAATAAACACAATTAAAATTGTCTTATTGTGAGTTTGACAGCTTGATTGGAAAAATCAAGATAAAATAATGTAGAGAAGACAAACATTATTTTGCGATATGACAAGTGAACGCACTTTGAGTCGTATTTTGATTAATTTGACGTTAATAATTTTATATTTAAAGATTGACTGAATGAAAATGTTTTTATATCATTTAAGTGATGCTATTTAAAAAAATGGTATTTATTCTCAGTAAAACTGACTAACTCTACTTGCTCGAGCTTTACATATGATGTAAAACTATGCGGATACTTTTAGTATCGTCATAGCATCTCCTCTTTGTTTTATAACAATGATTTGAAAGTTCGTATACCGCGCCCTACTTTGTGACGTTACGGTATGCGTTGCGCAAATTAAGCTGATTTAAGTGAGTTTGTTTGTTTCACATCTCTTGTGTGACATCTCTTTTTACCTAAAGACTTTCAAGAACACGTCTCACCCCTTTGAGCTCACTTATAGAAGAGCGCCACGGAAACGCATTTATCCAGAGCGCATTGGCGTACCCAAAAATAGATATTAACGCGTATGAAAACACTATTTTAAAAATTTTATTATTTATTTTAAAATAATGTGTTTTTATGGAATGTAACTGGGTGTTCACTGCACAAATGAACCAATGGAGAAACCGTCCCTGAGTATACTCATCTGGCGGGCACTAGCTACCGCCAGAATGGTCTCGCAGTTATAATTGTTGATAAAATAATTCAAAGAATATTTCCTGAAAGTTTAAGCCTAGTAAAAACACGTTAATTTTAACACTTTTTTTGATACTTTCAAAGATGCCGCAAGCGCAGTATCCCTGCCAGATCATTATTTCCTTGTTCAACTACTATTAGTAGATAATGGAAGTATGAAACCAGAATTGCATTTTTACACAACAGTTTTATATAAAGTTTTATAAAATATTTTAAAGCCTCTAAGAATACAATTAAACGTTATTCTGAGTTGTGAGAATATTTATACAAAAATCTTACACAGATGTTCTTCAGTCAAGATACAGTTGCTTATTCAGACACTCTAAGAAATAAAATTGCATTATTTGAAAACTAGATAACTATTTACTTTAATGAGACATTTATTTTGCTAGTTGGTGGCTCTCTGTAGATTCGTTTTACATGCTACGGAATCGATAATTTTTTTGGTTGACTCATTATGTGACTACAGTTCTGCTTAATTTTTAGATACAAATAGCATCCTTGAAATTAACTTTTTACGTCCTCCTGGTATAATGGATACGCTAATTAACCATCGCATCATCATCCGTATAATCGTTTGTTATTTAATTGAATATGTGGGTTTTACCACCTATTCTGATTCCAATCACGCTTTGATGTTAAAAAAATGCAACTAAGATACGGCCAGTGTAATTTCTAAAGCCATACAAGTTGCTATTATTGCAAACTATTTTTAAGTTATGACACGATACACATTTAAGGACACATTTCAACAAGTGCAACTTATTAGTAACCTCAGCAATAAACAATAATAATAAATGAGTGAACAAATTGTTTGGTGAAACAGTTTTATGTAGTGGTATCCTAGATAAAGTAAATTTTTGGGTAATAAAAATTGAGATAAACATCTTTATTCCGTTAGATCGACATTGAATAACAACATTAAAAATGGTAAGTACCTACAATAATTAAATTATTGTTGCTTTTTTTTAATTGCAAAATTATACAATCTTTTAAGGTAACAAAGTTTTTCAAATTATAATTTTTTTGTTGACATAAAGAAACATCTCAACAAACAGTTAATGTTATTATAATAAATTATAATGTTTTAATTTCAAACTGTATCAAGTTTATTTATTTGGGTGTATACAATTGTATACTTTATTAGAAAAATAACCTAGTTAAACAGTATTTGCAAAAGTTTTAAGAAGTTAAAAGTAAAACAGTAGTTATTTACCAAAAGCCTGTACCTAAACAATTCTTTGCAACATGTTTTAAGTTGATAGAAAATTTCTGGTTTTTGTTCATTTTAAAAAACTAAAAAATTAATTTAATTTGCCTTCAACCTTTCTTACGTGAATTCATAATTAAATTGGTGTTAAACAGTTTTATTAAAATTTTCAAGGGTAATACCACAAGAGGTGAGAATTTTTTGAGAACATTTTGTTGTTTGGAAATTATAAGTCTAAATTTCTCAAACAAAATCTTCGGTTTAATTGTAAATATAGACAAATATCATGTTGATTACCATTATTTATCGAGTCTTTACTTAATTAAAAAAAAAAACCTTTATAATAATAATCATTGTATCCATCCAGTTAGTTTACACCAATATTCAATTAGGAAATAAAGATCAAACATGACCCAATTAAAAAAAAAAAAAAAAAATATAGGTTAATTATTTTAGAGAAAGTTTGAAAGTTTAAAAGTTCCACTTCTCAAAATTTAAGTATTATTTCGAAGGCAAATTCGAAACTGACAACATGCCCAAACGCTCCTTAAATTTAAACGAAATTAAAAATGTTTTTAATTATTTCCTTGCCGAAAAAAATCATGGTGGACCTTTAAAACAAGTTGCAGGCTTCAGATACACGAAAGAGATATGGAACCACTAGCTATCATCGAGTCGGCACTCCAGAAGGTTCTGAAAAACCAGAAAGTAGCAAAACAGAACTTATAAAAGGACCCAAGAAAAAAAATGGGAAACTTTCCGATGGAATAAAATTTCAAATTCGTGATACAATTTACAAGAAAGTAACCAAATTTATGTTAAGATACACTTCTTGAAAAAATTAAAAATAAAGGAATTGTAAATATAGAAAGAAACAGTCTGTAGAAAACTTTAAAACTTATCGGATTTAAATTTAAGGAAGAAGACAATCGTAAGGCACTCTGTGAGAAATCAGCAAATAGTCCATAAGCGCATTCAGTTCTTAAGGGATTTCCATAAGTTTAAAAGAGGATGGTGCTTTGTTTGTATATTTAGATGGGACCTGGATTTTTTCGAAGGGATCTACAAAAAAGAATCTGACAGGATACAAATATAAAATCAATAAAACATGACTAAGCAACTGAGGGAAAAAGACATAATTGTCCATGCAGTTAACGAGGATGACTTTATTACTGATGCAGAATTAATATTTTCCTCGAAATCTAACAATTGTGAGTTTCATGACAACATGGATAAAGAAATGGCTAAAAGAAAAATTATTACCTAATCTTTAAGAACCTTCTGTAACAGTTTTAAATAGTGCATCTTACCACTCAGAAGTTGAGAATAGTATCTCTCAAAATGTATACGCTATAATCACACCAATGATGTATATAGTTACTGTCATGAAATTCCTAAGCCGACCCTGTCTAAAGCATCGACCTTCACGTCTGTGGCACCCGACTCATGCTCGAAACGACGGAATATTCTAGAAAAAAATACAAAAACAGAGAAGTCATGTAAAGGACCATCTTTTTTTAGCCCCCTTAAGATAAATACAAGAGTTATGTCTTATTTGTTACATTTCAGTAAATTATGTATTACATTGCTGGACAATAATGGCATTTTGCTGGTTAAATACAATTGTTGTACAAGATCAAATACTGGATAGAATTTGAAAATATACATTTCAACGAAATGCTGTAAATATGGCAACCCTAGTGTATATAAGTCAGAAAAAGAAAAAAAAAATTATACTTAACGCGATTTAATGTGAAAAAATCCGCAAATTCGAAGAAAGAAGAAATTACAAAGGACTTGCTAGGTACTTAAACATAATAAACAAAAAATACAATATTAGAAATAAAACTAATAAAAAAACTGTAGGTAAAACTTATTTTGTTCTTCGTCCTGGAAAGTAATCTTGCTTCATTTTTTTATTTGAGTTCGACGACTTGTGTTGTCAACTTTTGCATATCTGACAATATCATTCGCAAAACTGCTTTACTGGTTGCCTGCATGCAATAATGCATTTTAGTGGCGCCTCCTTTTTCGTAGTCTGATTTACATATAGATGAGCAATCTTACTTTTGGACCAAGGCTGACAGTTGCGTCAATTTTGTGACAGATTGACATTCGACTTAATGGTAACCTTTTGCATATGACAATATCATTCGCAAAACTGCTTTACTGGTTGCCTGCATGCAATAATGCATTTTAGTGGCGCCTCCTTTTTCGTAGTCTGATTTACATATAGATGAGCAATCTTACTTTTGGACCAAGGCTGACAGTTGCGTCAATTTTGTGACAGATTGACATTCGACTTAATGGTAACCGCAAAAATATACCGGTTAGTGAATTGATATTTGAGTCACCAATTTCAGGTAACCGCGTCCCTAATTTAACCGATTTTTCAGAAATGTCAAACAGAACGGTTAGTTTTGGACCGAGTAACCAATATTTCGGTTAATAACGGATCATACCTTTAGTGACGCGGTTACTCAAACGTCAATTCACTAACCGCTATATTTTTACGGTTACTATTAAGTCGAATGTCAATCTATCACAAAAGTAACGTAAATCTTGACCGTGGTCCAAAAGTAACCAAGAAATTACTTTTTTTTATGAACCGCTGTCAAAAAATCCTGATTACTAGCGGTTAGTAGTCGGTTAATAATAATTTTTTGCAGAGCTTTAAAGCGTCTGACAAAATTTTTGGTCCATGGAAAGTGTCTGATACTTGCGATACTACCTGTGAATAATCTATAAAATATATCCAAAAATCAGCCATATAAATTTAAGTTAAGTAACTCTTATTTTTAGTTACCTTTCACACCTGGTACCTCCCCAGGTGTCACAGGGCAAGCTTCACAAGCACGCATGTATTCAAAGCACATGAGACGCTATTGAGAACTTAAGGTTTCATCTTTGAGAAAATAAGTTATGTCTTATCGCTATGGGATCTTACTTATTCTAGATAAACGGAGAAAATACTGACGAGTTTATGGGAGTGGTTAGAAAATTTAGAAACCATTAAAATTAAAAATGTTTAAATTTTTTGTTTAATCCTATTTTCCTTTTCATTACAGGGTGCATCATGTTGTAAGAAAGATAAGGTAAGAAAAATAATAATTTTATAATTAGTATAGTAAGTGTGGTTAGTCCAGGCCAATTAGACTGCCTATCTATTTATTTAGGTCCTTCTTCGCCTTTTTATTGGTGGCTGCGTTAAGTCAAGTGGATTGATATGGTCAGACTGAGCGCTGAACAATTTAGTCCAAACTGTCTAGTTCTAATGTTTAAAATTCATGATCAGCAGACTAAGGAAGTACAAGACCAGCCACAATCCATATTTTTGTTTCAAAAATAATTTAAAATAGGCATTCGTTGAGGTTTGTGGTTATGTTAAGTCATAAAATACTCAACTCACTGATATTTAATAGTGGAAAATTCTTTTTTGTGTGTGAAGGTACAATAACAGCTGACATTACAGCATTGACCACTCCCAAGATAGGTTTGACTACTAAAGTCAGACAAAATGTATCGACCGTTCTGACTAATCAGCTGATTAGTCAAGACTAGTCTTGTTCGTTGGTTTTCTTTTTCGCTAGATGTTTTTGACCGGCCAGTAACTGCCTAATCTCTCTCTCCTCGGTCTTTCTGGTCTCAAATTTCATTGAGGATTCTTCCATTTGGCTTTTTTCACTTATCCTTTCCCAATGCATATGTATAAATTCAGACCAGGTTTTCGAAAGGGTTATCATAAAAAGTAATTGCTCTATTTTGTGTCTCCTCTTTTATCTTTATGTTTCTGTAAAATGAATTTTGTATGAAACTAATTTTTAATTAGCCATTAAATTTTTATTTATGGGTTTTTTAAAGCAAACAATTTCAAATAAACCATTTAAATACTTTTGCACATCTATTTACATTTTCTGTATTAGTCATTTTAAAACGCTTTTATTATCTAAATATTATGCTTGTTAGGTAGAAATATGTGTCATAGTACTTTATTTTTTAATAAATTAACAATTTCGCAATGTAAACTACGATCATCAAAACCAAAATTGAATCTTTACAGAAACTAGAAAAAAATTTACAATACAAAAAATATACAAAGCTGGGAATATTTTTAATAGTGTATCTTTTAAAGTATTTTATAATGTCTCTTGATCTAACTCTGCTAGACTATTTTTTGTGGCGTTACCTTAAATCTGAGATATACTTTAACAAATCTACTTAATATTAGTGATATAATTACCAAAGATTTTCAAAATCGACTTGCATATTGTCAAATATTGAAAGGCAGGGAAAAACCTAATTTAATAATTTTTAATAATTGAAATCTATTATTTCATGTATTTTTTTTAATACATTGTTACTAATAGATTTATTTTATATTTTTAAATATTGGTGTGGTGTAACATATCACAATATTTGAAAGACACTAAATTGGTGGTTTCCACCTTATCGAGACTGACGCACCCAGGAGGAAAACTCGTAGCACAAAAGAAACGAGGATGAATATAATGAAGCAAGTGAGAATTTTCAGATTTGTGAAGCATTAGCTTTACTTAGGCTAAACCGCCAAAAGCAGTGGTTCCTAACCTTTTTCGAGTAGCGACCCCTCTTAGATTAGCCAAGTAACCTGCGACGCCCATCACATTTGTATAAAAAAGGATAAAGAAAGCGTTGAACTAAATACCGCGTATGAAAAGAACCCTTAAACGAAATAGCGCGTATGAAAAGAGCGCCTGAACAAAATAGCCAAAAAAATTTAAAATAAAATTATTAAAACAAACTGAACTAATATACCTTACCTGTACGGCCTGGAGTCATAGCGGGTTGATTCGCAAAAAAATTATACCTAAAATGACGGTATTTTGTGACAGAGCCCTTTCGGTCTGATGCGGTTTCAATACTTTACTATTTCAACAGGCGCTATTTTATTAAGACGCTGTTTCGATCGGGCGCTGTTTTAACTAACGTTCTTATTCGTTCAGAGGCTCTTTTGTTACGCGTTATTTTGAGTAGGCGCTATTTTACTCAATGCTATTTTGATCGGTGCTATTTCGATCAGCGCTATTTTGATCGGACGCTATTTCGTTCAGCGTTATTTTGATCAGGCACTCAAACAATAGCGCTATTTTGATGATTTCGTGATAGGGCTAAAGAAATAACACTATACGTATTTTTTTTTAGAATACAACCCCAACGTAATACCTAATTAGCTAATTAAATAATGAATAAATAGTGCGATTTCATCCTTAACATATATTCAGTCTCTTTCTTTGGTTTAATAAATATGAAGAAGCGTTCAAAATCCACTTCCATTTTTCTGTAAGCTCGGGGAAAGGGGGATGTACTGCTGAAATTTCTTTTCAATGCATTTAAGGTGCCCAGTAATCTGTTCCTTCACATTATCATCTAGTTCATCTTCAGATTCCTCTATCACACCGCACAGTTTTTCAAACATGGTACTATTTCCAAGATTTACTTTCAGCGCCAGTTTTGGAACTTGGTTACAAATACCTGAAAATTATTTTAATACCTATAAGTTTTCTTTCCCTGCAGTTTCAGATTCATTTTATTTAACTGGTTCAAGATGTCTGCTAAGTAAACAACTATTTCCTTCCATGCTTCAACAATAAAGTAAGGCATAAGATCATGTTTTCCTTGCACTTCCAGTAACAACTCGATTTCATATTTCAGCTCAAAAACACGATCCATAACATTTTCTTTCGACAACCATGCATTGAATGCCCTATTTGTTTGGGAGTCTTTCACTTTTGTTTGAAAGCCCGACTGGTGTTCCATCTATACAAACTCTACATACGTTTTTCCGAACATGGGGCCTACATGTTTCAAAGAAAGTATTTACTTTATCCGTCATATCTTTATCTTTTGTAGTAGATACAAGGGTAGGTACTACAAAACAGGAGAGCTCTTTTTTCATCTGAATATAATATTTCGCATTCGAGGACTTATACGAGTATCTGTTGATCAATGCAGATGGCCGAATTTAATAAATCAATGTTGATCCCCTAGAAAATACTTTGGGACCCCCTTGAGGGTCATTGGGACCCCCCTGGGGATCACGACCGACCGGTTGGGAACCATTGACCTAGACCATCTTCACAAGACCTGGCTTTTAAGAAACATTCTGTAACGCGAGCCATTTTCAACCGGTCGGGACATACTCTAATCCCTTAAGTCCCTCTCTAAAATAAACAAATATCATTTAATACATCAAATGACCAAGATACAATCAAAATTGAAGTGACCTAGTCTTCGCTGTGTGTTAGATCAAAAGCAATGTCATTTTCTCTGACACAAAGCATATAGACACAGCTTATAGCTAAAGAATCAGTTCGCTCACTTTGCGTCGGCATTTTTGATCTCATTGCGCAACTCGGATTTGTATCCCTGGCGCATACAGACTCAAATCATAATAGTCCAAGAGCCCACTGCAAATTTTTACCGCCATCTGATAATGAAATAAAATATACTCCAAAAGCTTGTAAAAACATTGTACTCCAATCCCAATCCTGAGTATACTTGTAAAAAAAATATATTAAAAAAATCACATAAGGCATGACAGCGCTAATTTTGTTTGCCCTTAAAGTTTTCCAGATAATATATTCAAATATATCTTGATATATATCGTTAACGGGAAACATTTTCTTCCTCTTAACATCGCACAAAAACATCTACACAGGATTAGTAGGTAAAAATCATTAAAAATATGAATAACTTTTTGCTGATTTAAAAATTTATTTGTATGCCTATTGTTATGATTCATTTTTACAGGTTGCCATAGAAACGACAAAAAAACTACTACGAATTTGGTTTATAAGAATTGTCTAACAAGAGTTTATAATTATTATTGACTATCTCTGCAAATGGTTTATACAATGCCATCCTTTTTCCTTTCACACTTACACATGGTTTAAAAGGTAGGAAAAAAAATTATTCAGGTTTAAAAGCTAGGTTCACAATGAATTAGGATTGTAATTTTCAGGGAAAACACAATTATCGCTGTCATGTCTTATGTGATTTTTTGAATATAAAATAATTTATTTTAACCAATTTGCTCAGGATAGAGATTGGCACAGGTGCAATTTATTAAAGTACAATATTGTTACATGTCTTTGGAGCATATTTCATTTTGTTATCAGATGGTGGTCGTAATTTGCAGTGGGCTCTCTTACTATAACCAATTAGACATTCCAACGACCTGTCAAACAATAGCTGCCAGTGAGAAGGTCTAGTAAATCTATGGGGGTAGCGACACAGTCTTAATAGTCACCAAGCCTGTCAATTTATGAAAGAATGTATAAGCGGTTTCTTATTTTTATTATTATTTTTATTGTATAAAATATTTAAATGTAATCCATTATTCATGATTTTACGTATTGTAAACAGAATACATCGTATGTCGCAACCCTTGGATATATCAAATCTTCCCACTGGCAGTACATTTGCTTGGAATGCCTAATACAATATAATATGACAACCGCCTATATTCAAACAGCAGTCTTCTGCGCATCCTGAATTTGTATCTCTGGAGTGGATGTTATTTTGGAACATCCAATTCGTCCGAGTGAGCTAACTGATTCTTTAGCTATAAACTGTGATATAGACGACAAATGACAATTGAGTAAGAGGTGATTGTGTCCAAATAACGAAATAACGGTTCCAATCGTTACATGTTTTGCCTATACTTACGTTAATCATGAAAAAAGCAGATTCAATAAATATTGATTAAACTGCTAAATCGTATATAGAACAATCTGTTTACTAGCACTGATTTGTAAATTCTTAAATCTATATCGATATTAGGAAAAATCTAATCCAGTTGCACACATTGTTGATATGTCCATCCTTTGGTCATCTAGTGCCAAATACTCTTTGAGGTGTAAGATCTATTCAACTAGATAAAGAGTTCGCCAAATTTAAAGAGAACGTAAAGTAGGGACAGAAGTTGGAAAGGCTTTTGCCACTTCTCCGACCTTATACAAAGGATTTGCCATTTTAAGTTTTGCCTCGGAGCTAACCGAGGTGAACGAGAAACATTGGCGTTGAAAATTATTTTATAAATGCTAATAACAATTTC